AACGCACCTCTACATAACAAAAAAACCCAGCCAGAACGGATTAATTGGTTTTCAGTCCATTGCTTCAAAATTAGCTTCGTCAGAAGTGCTTTTAACACTGTTCCCTGACCTAAGGGGAAAAAAAGAAAAAAAATCCCCCTCTAGTGGTAGAAGACGGAATAGCAGCTTCCCATTAGTTTCTATGGACGGAAAAGAGCAGATACGGATTAAATGGTTTTCAATGCATTCCTATGGGAAATGCAGATTCTACATAAGAACTTTTCCACTTGAGAACCACCTTCCGATACGGATTAAGTTCTTAAGTAGAGACTCCACTGTATATTTTCTGGTATCATACTCAATGGAACATTACAAAGCAGTATTTGTTGTAACACACTATGCACTCCTATCCAATATTGCTTCACTACTCTACAGGTCCACCACATATGACAATAGCTTCCCACATGTGCTTCACATTTCCAACAGACATTTGATACATTTGTATACAGTGGTGCCTCGCTTAACGAGCGCTTCGTTTAACGATGAATTTGCTTAGCGATGACTTTTTTGGAGCGTTTTTTTTAATTTTTAATTTTATACAAAGAAATACACAAAAGATAGCATATGTGAATTAAAATGTTTTTGTTTCTTGCCTTTTTTATACCAAAGAAAAGCATGCCAACCGAACTGCAAATCATGTGCTTCCAAGTTGAGTAATCTATCATTTTCCAAAGTTATCCATTCTTTTATCCAGTCTAGTACGCAGGATCTATAATACAGAACCCATTCTGGAAGACGAGCCCCCCCCCCTCTGTTTGGCATCTTGCATTGCTTTAATTTTAATTCTTGGTTTTTTACCTTGCCATACAAATCTCATAATTACCTTCTTGAGTTCTTGAAAAAAATGACTGTTTTAGTATTATAGGGATTGTCTGAAATAAAAATAAAAATTTTGGCAAGACATTCATTTTAATACTTGCAATTCTTCCAATCAACAATAGCTGTAATTTGTCACATCTCTCCAAGTTGCTCTGTATCTCTTTAATCTATTTCATATAGCTGTCTTTGAATAATGTGCTCGTCCTCTTTGTAATTTGAATCCCTAAATATCTACTGTATTTTTTGCACCATAAGACACAATTTTTCCCACAAAACAGGGGTGTGGAAAGTCTGTGCGTCTTATGGAGCGAAGAAAACAGGTTATATTTTCCTGTTTTCTTCTCCTAAAAATTTGGTGCGTCTTATGGAGTGAAAAATACAGTAATTCTTTTTTCCTCTTAAAAGTTAGTCTTTTCTATTAACTTCTGTCGTTCTTGTTCTCACATTTTTTTGACAATTATTTTTGTTTTCTTTTGGTTGATTCTCATTCCTGCCACTACACCAAAGTTTTTCAATATCTCCATCAGGTCTTCTATTGAGTCCAGCGGGTCTTCCATTATAATGACCAAATCGTCTGCGAACGCTTGGAGTTTATAAGTGTGACCTCTTACTTTCAGTCCTTTTAGTTCCTTTTTATCTCAAATTTGTTTGGTTAATATTTCTAGGGTCAAGATAACGAGTAATGGTAATGGTGAGAGTGGACATCCCTGCCTAGTACCTTTCTGTATTTGTATTTCTTTTGTCAACACATGAGTAGTCTGTCCTAAAGGTGGCCCTTATGATGCAGGAGCTGACATGGGGAGTCTGTCCTAATGGTGGCCCTTATGATGCAGGAGCTGACATGGGGAGTCTGTCCTAATGGTGGCCCTTATGATGCAGGAGCTGACATGGGGAGTCTGTCCTAATGGTGGCCCTTATGATGCAGGAGCTGACATGGGGAGTCTGTCCTAATGGTGGCCCTTATGATGCAGGAGCTGACATGGGGAGTCTGTCCTAATGGTGGCCCTTATGATGCAGGAGCTGACATGGGGAGTCTGTCCTAATGGTGGCCCTTATGATGCAGGAGCTGACATGGGGAGTCTGTCCTAATGGTGGCCCTTATGATGCAGGAGCTGACATGGGGAGTCTATCCTAATGGTGGCCCATATGATGCAGGAGCTGACATGGGGAGTCTGTCGTAATGGTGGCCCTTATGATGCAGGATTCGATATGGACAGTCTGTGCAGAATGTGGTCAAGGGACAAGATTTTGTTAACCAATAGAACTGTAGAACTTTATAGTTTTTTGTTCTGTCATCAAATATCTGTACACTGTATTTCCGGGGTCTTCTCTGCTTTTAAGAGAAGACCCAGCTGAAAAGAGAAGCCCCAGCTGACTTTATTGTTCATCAATAAAAGTGGACTTTGGTTCAGCTGGTCACATGCTTGATTCCTTTTCCAGAGAAAACTGAGATATAGGTTTTGACTGTGCTTTCTGGTTTTATTATAAAGCTGCCTAGAAAATGATTTATTTGGAGGAACGGGTGAGCTTCTTCCTTGCTGCCCTCTCTGGCTTTTTGCATCCTCTCAAAACCCCGTGGAGTAGCATAGGAGTAGAAAAGCTGGGGATTTTCTGTGACAAAACCCATTTTTCTGCCCCCCAAAGTCTTCCAGGGATTGTGGTTTTCACATACAGTCCTGTCCAGCTCTGCAGTTCAAAGATGATGATGATCAATCAGATAGGGGGGGGGCACTCCTAGGTCCTGATCTTCTGTGTACTTTCAAATTTGATTTACCTTAATTTTTTTAATGTGAACCACATCGGCATGGCTAAAGAGGTCCATTTTTTAATTGAATTCCATTTTTCAAAAGGTTCCTACACTGTCTTTTTCTCTCAGGGAAAAAAAGAGACAAGCCTATGTTTTTAAAAATGGTTTAGTTAAAAAGGCCCCCTCCGCCCTTCTGATGACCAAATTGGAATGATATGGCTGACTGAGGAATGGGCAGCTGGAGGGTCCCCCCAAGCCCCATAAAATGCCCCAAAGGCCACGTGCATCTGACAGGCTCCATCTTGGCCACCCCTGAGGTTGTTCTGGGCCAAGCAGATGATGGTTGCAAGTTTCCATCAGTGCCCCTTCTTCAACTTGAGATCAGGAAAGTTTCTTAAGGGCCACAGAGTTTGTTCATTCAAACTGAACAGCCAGGGAGTACTCAAATTCCTGTCAAGAAAATCCTCTCGGGAGAACAATTATTGAAGAATATTCCTGGATCACATGTAATATCTCAGGAAAATCACATAAAATGAAGGAGAGGCAAAGTTTGCACTTTCTCTGAGCACTCCAATTATTTCACACTGACATGAAATGTTCCTTTGCATTTCCTAGCGAAGGAATGAGCAAGGCCCGAAATCCATGTGTGGCTTAAAGACTTTATCTGTCTCTTCCTCCTGCCAAGAAGCCAATTAAAAATCACTGCCACTGAAAATTAGCAGCAAAAAGCAAGTGTCTTCTTCACACTCCATTCACTGCCCCTTCTGTGTGTCCCCCCCCTACCGGGCAGTAATAAAGAAATAAATAAATTAATGAGCTGCACTTCTCTCATAGGAGACCTAGTAATTTGCCTGGCTTATCAAATTTATGGTTGCTTTGTCATCCTAAGCAATTAGAAGGCAGATTAACATTCCGTGACATCACATAAAGGTAGCCAATGGGGGCATGTGGGACCCATAGCTGGCAGGCCCATAGAGGTAACAGTTATGCCCACCCGTTAATATCAGACATACAGGAATATAGAAAGGGGTCTCTGCTGAATATACAGCAAAATTCTCATCCTTTTTCAAAACGGAACACCCAGTGTCGTCATTGTCTGATGAATTGTCGTATTGACCAGATAGGCGAGGTACAAACAGAATAAATAAATAAAGAATAAATAAATGTCATTATCATGTCTGATGAAGTGGACTTACAACCACATCAAAATATATAGAGAAAAGTTAGTCTTTAAGGTACAACCACATTTTTGTCTATTTTTTCTTCTTTTTTCACTTACAATGCCATCAGTCATTCTAGATTTCTTGTGCTAATAAAAATGGGGCACACGTTATGACTGGGTAAGAAGAACCACCGCAGAAAACAGGTTTTCAACCAACTTTACTGAATAATGGATTCAGAACGTGTTAAGCATGAGGGGTTGGGGGAGGGGAAAGGAAGTTTCCATTTACAGAACGTCATGCAAGATATACGGTAATATTAAATGAACAGTCTTCCGGATGCACAGACAAGACGATCTTGGGAAAAAAAATATAAAAGACGGTCGGAAAATTCTGTCCTGTCAGACTAAAACGGTGATGGGTGGAGCTTGATCCTAAACAATATTAAATTTCCGCCTTTCAGGCCTTCAAAACGTTTCCTAATAACTTAGCCAGTACTTCAAAATGAAAAATACAGGATTTAGACAGAGCATGAACCAAATATATGCTCTGAGTATATTAAAGGCCCCTGAAATATCTTAATGAGACTGAGGGGCTGCAAAAAGAGTGGGTTACCCAGTTCTCTCCAGCTGCTCTTGGATTCCAGATCCCATAAGCCCCAGATAGTATGAAAAACAATCAGAGATGAAGGGAACGGAGTCCAGAAGCATTTGAAGTGTCAAAGGATCTCCACACCTGTAGAAAGTACAAGACAAGTTTATTCACCCTCCATGCAAAGCAACGGAGGGAAACGGAGGGCCTCCAACCGCTCTAAAGCAAAAAAAAGTCCCTTCCCCACAAGGAAAAAAAAAGAATTAGTGTCTTTAGAAAACCAACACAGAAAAAGACAGTATTAAGTCTGTATTTCAAATCATGCAAGGTTAAGAAACTCTCAGTGTAATAAAGCACACAATAGAACGTCTTGAAATTAACAAAATTGTTATTTTTTTTAAGGTAAGTGTTTTTGTTTAGTTTGAGAATTCCCATGACTTCAGGTCTTTTTTCAAAGTTTCAGAGAAAACCAGGGTGGGCAACAGAGGCCCTCCTCATGTTTCAGGACTACAATCCCCATAATCCCCCACAGTGGACCACCAGTTGCCAGCCACGAAGCTGGTGGACCAGGAGAATAACAATACAAGGCCTGCCTTTATGATTATTCCTGGAGTTGATCTCGCTTTCCCCTTCCCTCTCTTTCTCTACTCTTTCCTAACAGGCTGTTCCCCATCCAGTTTCTCATGAGTAGGAACCTCGGGATCACCACCGCTAGGATCACCACCACTTTTCTCTCCCACATGGATCGTGTAATGCCTCTGAAGTTCCGATCTGGATCTGAAGTTTTTCCCACAGTCACTGCAGAGAAATGGCTTCACTCCCGTGTGGGTCCTCTGATGTGAAATAAGGTTCGAATTCCGGTTGAAGCTTTTCCCACAATCCATGCAGACGTACGGCTTCTCCCCCGTGTGGATCTTCTGGTGCCTGGTAAGGCTGGTGCTGTCGCAAAAACTTTTCCCGCAGTCGGAGCAAATGTAGGGAGTCCCTCCCGTGTGGACTCTCTGATGTCTTATTAGGCTCATGTTGGAATAATAACTCTTCCCACATTCGGCGCATTCAAAGGGTTTCACTCCGGTGTGGGTTTTCTGATGGGTAATGAGGTTCGAGCTCCACCGGAAGCCTTTCCCGCACTCCAAGCATGTGTAGGGCATCTCCCCAGTGTGGATCCTCTGATGGAGAGTCAGATCCGCCTTCCGGCAAAAGTTTTTCCCACAGTCTGCGCAGTTATACGGTTTCTCTCCCGTGTGGATTCTCTGTGCCTTCCGGCAAAAGTTTTTCCCACAATCTGCACAGTTATACGGTTTCTCTCCTGTGTGGATTCTCTGGTGGATCCTCAGCTCCGACCGTTCACAAAAGCTGACGCCGCATTCAGCGCATTTGTAAGGTTTCTCCCCTTTGTGGATGATGGAGTGCCGGATTAAGTGGGACTTCACCCGGAAGCTTTTCCCACAGTCCAGGCACTGGTAGGCTTTCTCCCCGGCGTGGATCCTCTGATGAATCGTGAGGCCTGAACTCTGGCAGAAACATTTCCCACAGTCCAAGCACTTGTACGGTTTCTCTCCCGTGTGGATCCTCTGATGTCGGACGAGGCTGGTACTATAATTAAAGCTCTTCCCGCAATCCAAGCATTTATAGGGCAGGTCGCCAGTGTGGGTCACCTGAAACTCAATGACCTCCGAGTTGTCCGGGAAGCTGCTTTCGTCAACGGCTCCAGTCTCACTCTTCACCGTGGGGATTTTCGGCTGTCCAGCAGCGTCATCGAGCGGTTCCTCGACTTCCGACGGATTAAATTTTCCTGCTTTCTCTCCCAGCGAACCTCTCTGTGCTTCTTTAGAGCCCGGCCAACCTTTAGAAGCTTCTTCCAGGCTGCCACTTTGCGAAACCTCCCCTTCTGGACTTCCCATTTCCACCAAATTTGCCGCTTCTTCACCAGTGACATCTTGGTGATTTCTCTCAGTTGCACTCAATAGGTCTTTACCTGCAGGGAAAAAAAACATGAGCAGGGGATGAAAACTCACTTATGGTGTTCAGAGTTCTCATCTGATTTTGTCATAAGCTATAGCAGGGGTGGGAAAGCATCATAGGCCTGTGGCACCCGTTCTTCACAGGTCTTGCTGCTCCAGGTTGCCATGACGGCAACAAAGACTGTCACCAGAAATAGGGCCTTTTTTGTCGTGGTGCTATCCTTATGGAATGAACTCCCGGCAGAAGTCTGTCAGGCCTTGTGCCTTCCAACCCTTAAGAGGACGCTGAAGACTGAAGCGTTCAAGGACATCTTTCCTTATCTATGTTACCTTGATTCTGCCACTGTTTGGGAGTCTCTCATATTTATTACCCATTTAGAGATGTTTAAGCTTGGTTTGTTAGGCTGTTGGGCTACAGTTTTATCGTCTTGTTATAAACCGCTTTGCACCAAGTCAGCGGTATATAAATACATGAAATGAATGAAGGCCAAAGCTGCACCTGCCTGTCTCCGGACATGGGGTGGGATGGGGCTGTACCTCCTCCCCTGCCCTGTCCATCCCAAAAAGCTTCAAGTCTCAAATTTTGGGAGAAGGGAGTGTGTTTCAGGTTTTGGTTTAATCATTAAAACAGCTCGCTGGCTGGATAGCTGAGTGGTTTCAGTATTTGATGACAGAGCCAGACGTTGGGACTTCAATTCCTGACTGTGCCTCCTAAGGGAAGAGCCACCGTAGGTAGCCTTGGGCAAGCTGCACCATCTTAGGGCACCCCCAGAAGAAGGGAAGGAGAAACAATTTCTGAGCCTGGGAACCCCCGAAAAGGGTCACCGTAATTCAGCATTGGCTTGACGGCACATAATTATTATTGTTTACTACAGTGGGGTTAAGTTAACTTAAAAGTAGACAGAGGGTTTTTTAATTTGAAAAAGCTTCATTTCCTCTAGCAGCCTCCCAATTTTTTTTAAATTACATTTTTGGGAAGATGGGGAGGCTGTTCAAAAGTGATACCCTCCTATCTATTAAAGCGGTAGTTCCCACCGTCTTCTAGCAGCCTCCCAATTTTTTAAAAAATTAAAATTTTGGGAAGATGGGCGGCTGTTCAAAAGTGATCCCCTCCTATCCTTTAAAAAAGCAACAGTTCCCACCCTTGGGTCCTCCAAAGGCTAACCAGGACTTCTGGGTATTGTAGTCCAAGAACATCTGGGGACCCAAGGTCAGGAACCACTGTCTTAGAGGGAATACTAAGTTACTAGGTGAGGGGGTTCAAGATCGGGCTGGATGTATGGAACCCCCAAGCTGCATTTCGCTGCCCCACCATACGAATGACGTAACTAGAAGGAAAAAGAGTATGTTTTTTTCCCTTTAAAAGGGATAATCAGCAAATGGAGAGGGATACAGGTTTTTTTCTGGTGGTAGGAAAGGTCAAAGCTTCCCCCCTCCCCCTACCACCGTCAAAATATTTAAAACGCTGCAAATCCTTACTCGGAGAGCTGCCCACTTCAATGTCACCTTCTCGATTCGCTTCATGGTGTGAGGGAATCTGCTCTGGTGCAGAGAAATTCAGTGCTTCCTCGGGTACCTTAAATAGAGGTGAAGTGTTATGTTTGACTCACAAGTGTAGCACAGAAGTGGCGTGAAACCAAACTCTACCCTGTTTTACAACAGAAGTGTGGGTGTGTGGGGGAAACATCGCTAAACACAGATGCGTCCATATTCAACATTACACCAAAAGTACAAACAACATATACACTGTGGGTCCTGATGGCAATTTTAATTGTATTCACAGACATGTGGGTGTGTGGGGAAAACATCTTTCAGCATAAGAGCTGAACAGAGATACATCCATATTCAACAGCACACGAAAACTACAAACGACATACAGATACGCAGCAACCATACATACAGGAAGCCTATGGCTTTCAGAATAGGGGAAAACACACACAAAAGCTTAGAAATGATTGAACACAGAAGCCGGTTTAGCTTTGTGGATTAGACACGGGCGCTTTGTATTCATATCCAGGGGATCACGGATGCCACGGCAGTCCACTCCCACCCCCCAGAACCAGATACCCAGCAACCATACATGCGGGAAGCCTGAAGCTCTTACTGCTGCTAGCACCTAAGCATTTCAACATTTCAGAATGAGGAAAAACACAGACAAAAGCTTAGAAATGATTGAACAGAGAAGGCGGTTTAGCTTTGTGGATTAGACACGGGTGTTTTGTATTCATATCCAGGGGATCATGGATGGCACGGCAGTCCACTCCCACCCCCCAGAACCAGCCCGGTCCATTCACTGCCTCCTTGCTGGAGTGGTCGGCTGTGGGGAGAGGCGGGGAAACGCCGGTGGGATTCCTTCTGCAGTTGGTGCAACGATGATGCTGACGGATGTGAACACCATGTGGGGCCCGGTGAATGGACCCGGCTGGTTCCGGTGGGCCGGAATGGACTGCTGTGGCACTTGTAGTGCCAGGCTTTGTATTTGTATCCCCCAGATATGAATAGAAAGTGCCCGTGTCTCATTGGGATATTTTGATAGCGATATATATTTCCACAATGTCATTACCAGAACTGGACGTAGTAAGGAACCAGAGACCATGCTAATATAACATCCACTATTAAAACAGCATTTGTGATAATATGCATTTGTCAGCATTGGGGGGGGCTTGGAACTGACCCCCACACACACAGATACAGGGGTCCTGCTGTACTATGTATGGCTGAAAAGGCTAGAGAGAGAGAAAAAAATGGACAGGAGAAAATACTGAATCGTTCGAACTCAGTCGCCTTATTGGCCCCTTCCAACTCAATTATTCTATGAAATATGGGGTTGAAGTAGGGCTTTCAAGTGAACTCTCAGCAGAAGCAAAAAATGACTAAACTGAGGCTTTTATACTTGGGAAACATTGTGAGAAGGCTTCCTCCTGCGGGGAAAAAGGAATACTAGGAAAATTAAAGGGCAGTAAGAAAAGAGGAGGACGAAACACGAGATAGATTGACTCCCTAAAGGAAGCCACAGCTTTGGGTTTGCAAGACCTGGGTGATGCAGTTAAGAACGGGTTTCTGGAGGTCATTAAGTCATAGGATGACCATTAAGTCAGAAGCAAAACGGTGGCCTGTAACACACAGACCCAGACACTCAGGGTTGCTAGAAACACAACATCCTGACATTAATTACAGTGGTGCCTTGCTTAACGGGCGCTCCGTTTAGCAACGAAACCTCATAGCGATTAACTTTTTGCGATCACAAAAGCGATCGCATTGCGATGTTTCCTATGGGTTTTTTTCGCTTTGCGATGATCAGTTCCCTGTTTTGCTTACCGATCATCGCAAAGCGATGATTTTTTAACAGCTGATCGGCAGTTCCAAAATGGCCGCTGGGTAAAAAAAATGGCTGCCCGCTGTGTTTTCGCGGGGATTCCTCACTTTAGAGGCAATGAAAATGGCCGCCATATGGAGGATCTTCACTTTAAGGTCAGTTTTTTGCCCACAGGAACGCATTAAACAGGTTTTAATGCGTTTCTACGGGCTTTTTAAAATCGCATAGCGACGAAATCGCTTAGCAGAATGTTTGCTGCATGGATTAATTGTCGCTATGCGAGGCACCACTGTAATTTAAAAGGTAGAGGGGTACTTAAAAGAAAAAGGTCCACAGTTGGCAATGCCAGAATGTCAAGGCCTTTGCAGCTGCCCTTAAGGTTTCCAATGCTGGGGGTGGCCTTGCGTCCACCCTGGATCTACGCACCCTCTTTTCAATGGCTCTCCCCCTCTCTTAAGTGTCGTAGCAATGCAAACCCCTTCTTCACCTGCTCCTCCTGCGTTTCGAGCTTCCGTTTCTTGGGCCGGAACCCCTCCGCCAGGGCCACCGCTTGGGCGCACGTCTTCGGACACCCTTCCACCACCTGGCTCTGGATCTCCGCCGGCAAGATGGTCAGGAACTGCTCCAAGATCAGCAGCTCCAGGATCTGCTCCTTGGTGTGCCTCTCGGGCTTCAGCCACCGGCAGCAGAGGAACCAGAGGCGGCTACAGGCTTCCTGAGGGCCTTGGGCTTCTTGGTAACGGAACTGGCGGAAGTTTTGCCGCTGGATCTCCAGGACGACCGCATCCTCCGCCGGAGGCTCTTCCTCCGGCTGCTTCGGGGAGTCGGGGTTCCTGGGAAACTCTTGGAACTGGGCACTCGATCCCAACGGGGTTTGGGTTTCCTGCCCCTCAGAGGGGCAACGGTTACCTGCGGCTTTTACCTCAGAGGAGCTTAAAGAAGTCTGAGCCTCCACCTGGCGAGGAGACCCCACCGTCTGCGGGTTCGGGCAACCAGAGGTGGGAGGTTCTGCCGTCTTCGGAATTGTCTGCTCTCGGGTCTCTCCGTACCGAAGGGCCCCCCAATCTGGTTCACCTTTGGCTGGGTTTTGTGGGGATCTTGGCAGGAACTCCTCAACATCCCCAGACAGAGTGACACTTTGGGGGGTGCATTCCCCTTCTTCCCTTGCCATGGGACTCGCCGCCTCTTCTTCGTTCATTTCTGTCTTTAGCGGCACCGCCCGAAACTCTGGCTCGGCCTGGCACTCTGCGGCCAAACCTGACGACATTCCCGGCTCGGCAGCCATTTTGAGGAAAGCCAACTCACTCTCTCAGGCTAACCTCCCGAGGTGCCTCCAAATCGCTCCTTGGATTATCGGGAATCCCAGGCCAACAAAGAAAAGCCGGTGGCATTCCAGGAGGCTTCTCCCTAAACGGTGAGAATAGGGGAAAATGAGGACTTCAATCAAATTCTCGACCTGTTTCGAGCCTAACGTTCGCAGTTAACACCTGATCTTGTGGGAAGCTTATAGCTTTCCTCGCTTCCGGGCCTTATTTTTGAAGGCTCTTCGGGGTGGCTACTCCCAGCCAAAGGGAAGCCCAGCTGATAACTCTTCTCCTTAACGCCACCTTCCTCCTTAAAAAGAACCCAAGGCAGCTTACATCATTAAAAGACAAAATTAAAAACTTAAAAGGAATAAGCATGGAGATAAAGAATCGGACAAATACCATGTTGAAAACATGTGGTCAACAAAATCAACACCAAAAACAGATTCGAAGCGAAAAGGCACACAACACTCCATTAAAAAAAAAACCCTCCGTGAGTGCCAGTCACTATGGGAAAGCTTTACTAAAACTAGGGAACTATTTATTGCAACCTTACATCCCACCTTCCGGGAGGCAGTGGAAGACAGGAGGGACTGGCGTGCTCTGGTCCATGGGGTCATGGAGAGTCGGACACGTCTTAACGACTAAACAACAACATATCCCACCTTATTTATACCATTCCTGTATTTTTAGGGTGCCCCAATCTTGGGGGGGGGAATGACAGAAACACCACCACTAGATCAGAGAAAGCCACATACAGTTTTCTCTACACAAGGAACACCTTCTAGAATTGACACCAAAGAAAGAGGTTCTTCTCATTATAGGGGACTGGAATGCTAAAGTAGGGAGTCGAGAGATAAAAGGAACAACAGGGAAGTTTGGCCTTGGAGTTCAAAACGAAGCAGGGCAAAGGCTAATAGAGTTTTGTCAAGAGAACAAGCTGGTCATCACAAACACTCTTTTCCAACAAGACAAGAGGCGACTCTACAAATGGACATCGCCAGTGGGAAGTACCAAAATCAGATTGATTATATTCTCTGCAGCCAAAGATGGAGAAGCTCTATATAGTCAGCAAAAACAAGACCAGGAGCCAATTGTGGCTCTGATCATCAGCTTCTTATAGCAAAACGCAAGCTGGATTTCAAAGGCGCAGAGGAACTAGAGACCAAATTGCTAACATGCACTGGATTATAGAGAAAGCCAGAGAGTTCCAGAAAAACATCTTTTTCTGCTTCTGCCACAGCCTTTGACTGTGTGGACCAAAACAAACTATGGCAAGTTCTTAAAGAAATGGGAGTGCCTGACCACCTTATCTATCTCCTGAGAAACCTCTATGTAGGACAGGAAGCAACAGAACTGGATATGGAACAACTGATTGGTTCAAAATGGGAAAGGAGTACGACAAGGTTGTATAATGTGTCCCTGCTTATTTAACTTATATGCAGAATACATCATGCGAAATGCTGGACTGAGTGAATCCCAAGACGGAATTAAGATTGCTTGAAGAAATATCAACAACCTCCGATATGCAGATGATACCACTCTGATGGCAGAAAGTGAGGAGGAATTAAGGAACCTTCTAATGAGGGTGAAAGAGGATAGTGCAAAAATGGTCTGAAGTTCAACATCCAAAAAACTAAGATCATGGCTCCTGGTCCCATCACCTCCTGGCAAATAGAAGGGGAAGAGGCAGTGACAGATTTTACTTTCTTGGGCTCCATGATCACTGCAGAGGGAGACAGCAGCCACGAAATTAAAAGACGCCTGTTTCTTGGGAGGAAATCGATGACAAACCTTGACAGCATCTTAAAAAGCAAAGTCATCACCTTGCCAACAAAGGTCCGCATAGTCAAAACTATGGTTCTTCAGCATGGTCTCTGTGAATGCACACAAAAGGGTTAAATCAGCGCCTGCGCTGGACCTCTTGGAATCTTCTTGAGCTTTGAATAGAAAAGTAACAAGTTAGATTGCCCCCAATGCGCATGCTCTGCCTGCCAAAGCCTCAGTTCCATTTTTCCGCTGAGCGAATTGGAACGTCTCGCATCAAGCTAGCTATTTCTTCTCTTTTTTGCTGGATTTGACAAGGAGGCTGGCAATATAAAGGAAAAACAATTTTTTAAAAGGAGTGTGAAGGAAGACAAATAATTTGGTAAAGATGAACAGATTTCATCCATTTTCTTTTGCTGCCCCCAGACTTTGGAATTCCCTCCCACTGGAGGCCAGACTGGCCCCATCTTTGCTATCCTTCCACAAGTAGGCAGAGACCTTTCTCTTCAGGTGGGATTTCCCTGACTGACTGGCTGCCTGAGATGGGTTTTTAATGGATTTTTGTGCCTTCTTGCTTTGAATGTGTTTTGGTGTTGCTTATGTTTTTTGTTGGTATTTGTTTGATCCTCTTTAGTATTTGATTAGTGTTGTTAGCTTTTATATTGTCTTTTAATGATGTAAGCTATCTTGAGTCCTTTTAAGGAGACAGAGTAAAATATTTTAAATAAATTAATAATATTATTTATCTCCTGTTGAGCTCTCGTGAATCAAACCCCATGTTTTCAAACTAAAGGATTGCAATTATTATGTCCTCTCTTATTTACACACGCCTCCACGGCAATGAGGGTCAAGACCAGGCGAGGATACAGGTTATACTGTAGTTTTCCTACGGAACTGTGTGGTGAGAGTCTGAATCTAGCAGCCCAATATCCCTTGACATCTCTTGCTCACGAGTTGGATCTGCATCTGCCTTTGCACATCATCATCACCCCTCAATACATTTTGGACAGGGAGGAACAGTCACCCAGGGCTGTGATCCCAGGATGTCGCCTGAGCAACCTTGATGGAAGAGTTCGGTGTCAACTCTAAAGCTTACCCAGTGTGACATAGGCTGGCTCTTCCGAAAGGTTCCTCCCCCTATTCATCTGAATGTCCGAAAAGGATCATCATAACCGCTTAGATTAGGATCTTTATTGTTTTGCAACCTTATAATGTGGGGATCATGCCAGGGAAGGGGGAGTGGAGAAATGTCCCACTCCTACCAGAGAGAGAAACAGGGCTACCTTACGGGGTTCACTGAACTCCTCTCCCCCTCCCTCCCTCCCTCCCTGCATTCATGCATGCAAAAGACCGAGGACCCTTCACTTCCCCGCCTTCTCCCCATAGGCACCCCCGCCCCTTTGAAGCCTCCCCGTCTTACCACGCGGCCGCCATTCATCTCCCGCTGAGCAGCTGCTGAACATTCCAACCGGAAGGAACTCTCGGGATTTTTTTCCTCCTCCTCCCCGCCCCTTTCGAACTAGGAGGGCTTTGAAGTTTCTTGGTCTCTCTAGGAGTCTCTTGCTCGAAGCTCGGTCCTCTTAACCCTTTACCAAATCAGGCGCCGGTCTCTCCGCCGCCCATTCTAGCAGAGCCCCCCCCGCCGACGCCACTACTGTCCAGAAAGGAGTAGGAGAAGCAGAGCCGACCCCAGACATTTTGCTGCCGGAGGCTAAGCAGAAAAGGGCCAAAGGGCGCCAGCACTCAACAGCAGGCCAGCTGTGCTCGTGCATAAGGAGACCCAGCCCTATCGTTAGAGAGGGTGTGGCAGCCGCCCCAGGCAGAGGTTTTGGATTGTGATGATGAAAGGTTCAATGATGAGTTATTGAACCTTGCTGAGGGGTACCTGACAGTTGAGGACGATGGAGACTGTAGTCAGCACGTGAAGAAAGTGGGTGGAGCCAGCGGTTTGTATAATACTTGTTGCCGTCTTACCGTGGTTAAACAGACTCTAGATGTGAGGCTTGTTTAATCCCTTTCTTAGTTTACCAGCAGGCACCATAACAACCAGCAAGGCAGGGATCAGCATGATTAGACTTTCTGTCTCTTTGGGAGAATAAATTGTCTGGAAGGGGGGGTGAGGGAGTCGGCTGGCTCCTAGCAGTAGGAGACCCTGTCGCGTGAAGAAGAGCCGATCAATCGTTCCCCTTGAAGAAACTCCAGCAAAAAGCTAAAGCCAGGGATGAGCAATGCATCTAGCCCTTCAAATGTAGCTGGAATGCAAGTCCCATCATCCCCAAGCGCTGGTTCTTCTGGCAATGGCTGATGGGACTTGCAACACACACATCAAGGTCCTTCTATAAATCAGATCTTACAAGAGGTAGAGAGAGGTCATCTTGAAAAAAATCGCAGAGCTACTAAAGAGTTCTCAGGGTCGATCACCAGGGACTGGAAGCTTGAAACAGCTCTCTGTACATCCACTCCAAAGGAGATGGGTTTATTAGCTTCTGTTTTCAAGAAGGGGCTTTCCTAGTTTTTTACAAAGAAGAGAATACAGTGGGGTCTTGACTTGAGAACTTAATCCGTATTGGAAGGCGGATCTCAATTCAAAAAGTTCTCAGGTCAAATCTGCATTTCCCATAGGAATGCATTGAAAACCATTTGATCCGTATCTGCTCTTTTCCGTCCGTAGAAACTAATGGGAAGCTGCTATTCTGCCTTCGACCACTAGAGGGGGATATTTTGTTTCTTTTTTTCTTAAGTCAAGAAAGGTTCAGGGAAGGCAGGGAAAATACAGTCCAGGCAGCGCCAGGCAGTCTGAAGACTGTCTCCCAATCCACTCTCTAAACGCTGGGAGGAGTGAGGAAGCAGACAGGCACCCTTTTCACTGGCCAACAGTTAACTGAAAGTTCAAATTTTGCACTTTCCCTGCCTCCCACGTGGGTTTTTTCAGTTCGTAACTCAAATCTAAGTACTTAAGTCAATATTTTCCTATGAGAGTGGTTCTTAAGTCAAAATGTTCTTAACTCGAGCTGTTCTTAAGTCAAGACCCCACTGTAAAACAAATCCACCCTGAGGTGTGTGTTGGGGAAGAGGTGCGGTCTATGCCACTCCGGCATTTTCCTGAAATGGGGGTTTCCAGTCGCCTCTTCATCGGTTCATGTCCAACCCAATGGGGTTGCTTTCAAACCTGGTGGCCACCGAGGAGCTTCTGTAAGCCACATGCAGTGCACAGATGATCACAGGACGTCAGAGGTGGGTCTGAAGCCACAGCCGAGCTCCCCTTCCAACATGTTAAACATTTTCACCAGAATAAAAGCCCAGTTATTCCACTGAACAGAGGTTTGTGAGCCAAGGGAGAAAGTTCCGCTGCCTTGCCTTTATATTACAGTACTTTAATTATTTTACTTGAATTCGTTGTGTATATGTGTTTAATTTTGATTTTATAATTTAAAAAAATGGGGCAGTAGTTGTGCTGACGCTGAACAACAAACCAGTTCTAGCTTTGCCGGGAACAGGTCTTTTGCAAAGCTAATGGGTCTTAATTGTTCATTCAAGAACCCAACGATGAAGATGGCTCAGAACAATATATTGTGCTGGTGAAGTCTTTCCTATTTCTCTGCCCTCTGGGCAAGATACAGTGAGGGCTGCAGTTAAGCTCAGAAAGTACAAGGGAACCTGAGGAGTCTAATAGATAATTACCATTTTTCCTGCAACCCCAAAATGCTGGGAATCCCCCTGGTTCTACTACACCAGTGCTTCTACTATCTGCTCCCTGAATTAGTCGATTCACTCTACCCAATGGGAGGGCCAACCCTGACTCATGTTCTGTATTTCGTAGTTTTAGAAGATGTTGCTGTGTTTGTGTTACCATGCCAGGTTAAATCAAAAGAAAAAAATAAAGACGACAAAATTGTGGCACCTTCAAGACTGCTATATTTTAATGTGAGCTTTCATGGATAAATCCACTTCTTCAGCTCTATATTTTATGTTAATCGACCTGTGTAGGCTGTATTTTGGCCATGTACATAGCAGTTGTTTTTAAGTTAAAATTTAAATTTTTGTAAGCCTTTAATATTACTTGCAGTCTGTTTTGATAGTGTGAACTGTTTGGAGAACACCCAAACTTGGATTGTCAGGTCTCACTCAGGTTTTATCTTTGTAAGGAAAATGCCTCCTTAAATGGTGCTCTTCCACCAATACTCTACTAGTTTCCAGATTCCACAACTCTTTGAACCCTAGGCTGGGTGAGACCTAGAAAGTGAATGACTGGGCAGCTCCGAGCAAGCATTTAACCCTAGATTTCTAATTCCTCCCTTATTTGGGATAAAATACTGTACTCCCAGCTGTGTACTTGTAAGTCATGCACACCAGCCTGAAAAGGTAGGCCACCCAAAGAACAAAAATAGCCTACATAGCCCTGGGGCCAAGTCACTTTCTTTAGACACTGAAACCCTTGTTCAAAAGGATCACGCAAAAGGATCACACTTGGGTAAAATATAAAATCAGGTTTATTTTTTTAAAAGGTAAACAGTTCTAAAACACAGGGCATACAAAGGAGTTACAAATTGTGCCATTAAATGCCAAGCCACTAGAGATTAAATTAGCTTCTGTAAACCTTTCCCGTAAAACAACAAAGAAATTAGCTAACTAGAGTATAATGATTTTACTACTTAATTGCCATACTATTCTAGGTCACCATTGCTTAGTCTCCTACTAATCAATCAACAAAGGTTGTAAAACCGGTCACTTTCTCTTTCTCTGACTCTCTCTGTCTCTCATACACACACCTAGTCTCTCTTTCTATAACTTAAATCGAAGCCCCTCCATAGGGCTGGTGTCCAATCAGCATACATTCCTTTGTTAGCAAGTCCACACCTAACATGTCTCCGGTTCCAAGGCTTGTAAGCAATTAGGATGGAATCAAATGTTTATCACTCTTGAGATGGAGCCTTGAAGTGTTTCCCCCGGGAAGCGAAAACAATAGACTGGTTCTCAGGCTGAAGTCTTCGGCACCTGTAGAACTCTGAAAAACAAGTACAGAGATACAAAATCCATATCCTTACCACCCTGAAGCTAGGTTTCCGTCTCCAGGTCTCAGGCTTTGGATCTGAAATCTTAAGGCAGTGAGGTACTGCCGACTTAGTAACTTCCCCATGTTTTGAGAGCCACCCAGAAACCCTACCTTGCAGCAGCTCCATTTTTTAAAAAATTGAGAATATATTTCTAGCCATTACAGGATCCAACAGGACTTTTCAGTGTGGATGATGATGATAATAATAATGATAAGAATAAGAACTAGAACCAACATGATGAAAGCTAAGATCCAAGGAATTACAGTGGTGCCTCGCTAGACAGTTACCCCGCATGACAGTTTTTTTCACTAGACATTGACTTTTTGCGATCGCTATAGCGCTTTGCAAAACAGTGATTCCTATGGGGGAATTTTGCTGGACAATTTTTGGTCCCTGCTTCGCAAACCGATTTTCACTAGACGACGATTTTGACAGCTTCCTCTGCGCTCGCAAAACAGGGGTTTTGGGGACCTAAGCTTCGCAAGACAGCAATTTAAACAGGTGATCGGCGGTTCGCAAAGCGGCATTCCTATGGCCGATCTTCGCTAGACAATGACGATTTTTCCCTATTGGAACACATTAAACAGGTTTCAATGCATTCCAATGGGGAAATGCTTTTCACTAGACAATGATTTCGCTAAACAGCGATTTCAGTGGAACGGATTATCATCGTCTAGCGAGGCACCACTGTGCTGCTAATAGCTAATGTTAAGTCTGCCAAGAAAAAGATGACACTCTGTCACACCATCAGTGAATGTCCAAAGATTGTACAAACAATACATCATTAGACAGGAGAGTGGTAAAATTAGAGCACTAGTCATTATGCAAAAAAAAAAAGACATGCCAGCCATCAAAAACCTGTGGGAACATCAGGTGGAGAAGGTTTAAGAAAACAAGGAAGTCAAGATCTTGCGGGATTTTTGGATTCAAACTGATTGGCAGCTTGAACATAACACACCAGAAGTAGTAGTAATGGAATGAAGATATGTCTGGATCATTGACACTGCAGTTCCAGGGGATGATGGAGTTGAAGGTAAAGATTTGGACAAACTTAAATGGTCCCTGTTGTCATCGGAGCTTTGGGAACAGTATCAAGAAATTTCACACAGTACTATAAGTACTGTGGCAGATCTCGGAAATCACACCATCAGAGCTACAAAAGCTAAAAGGTGCCTTGACGTGAACTTAATCCGTCCCAGAAGATGTTCACAAGTCGAAATGTTCTTAAGTCGAATCAGCATTTCCCATTGAAATGCATTGAAACTCGATTAATCTGTTCAGATTAGGGGCGCCGGTTGTAAATTGGGAAAGTGTGAAGGCAAGAGGAGAAGGGGACAACCGAGGATGAGACGGATGGACAGAGTCATCGAAGCAACTAACATGAATTTGACCCAACCCTGGGAGGCAGTGGAAAACAGGAGGGCCTGGCGTGCTCTGGCCCATGGGGTCACAAAGAGTCGGACACGACTTAACGGCTAAACAACAACAAGACAAGGAAGCTGGCAATAGAAAGGCAAAACAATTTTGTTAGCAAAACTAAATGACTAAACAACCAAAAAATCCATTTTGGAGCACACCAGTGAGCAAAAGAGCATTGCAGAAAGGGTCTGCAAGACCCATCAGAGCATAGAAACATAACCCCCCCCACCTAGCCCTAATTCAAAAATCAAAAATTTAAAAAAGCCAAAAAAATGCAGTACATACAATAAAGTTCCAGGCAGTCTGAAGTCTCTCTCTGTATCCACACTTTCTAACTGCTTAGGCAAGCGAGGTAGCGCACAAGCAGCCTCTTTGTGGCCAATGGTTAACTGAAAGTTCAAATTTCTGGCTTTCCTTTGGTAAGTCAAAGCAAAATTTTGCAACTGGAGCCGTACATCGAAATGTTCGCAGGTAGGGGCCGTTTGTAAGTCGAGGCACCCCATGATTTGTTCGTTCGTTTAGTCGTTTAGTCGTGTCCGACTCTTCGTGACCCCATGGACCAGAGCATGCCAGGCCTTCCTATCTTCCACTGCCTCCCGGAGTTGGGTCAGATTCATGTTGCTTGCTTCGCAGACACTGTCCAGCTATCTCATCCTCTGTCATCCCCTTCTCCTCTTGCCTTCACAATTTCCTAACATCAAGGTCTTTTCCAGGGAGTCTTCTCTTCTCATGAGATGGCCAAAGTATTGGAGCCTCAGCTTCAGGATCTGTCCTTCCAGTGAGCACTCAGGGTTGCTTTCCTTCAGAATGGATAGGTCTGTTCTCCTTGCAGTCCAGGGGATTCTGAAGAGTCTCCTCCAGCACCACAATTCAAAGGCATCAATTCTTCGGCAATCTGCTTTCTTTATGGTCCAGCTCTCACTTCCATACATCACGACAGGAAAAACCATAGCTTTGACTATTCGGACTTTTGTTGGCAAGGTGATGTCTCTGCTTTTTAAGATGCTGTCAAGGTTTGTCATCGCTTTCCTCCCATGATTAGCACATGATTATTATTCCTTGGGGATATAGAGGAACAGCATACAAGCTGCGCGGATACTTGACAGATACTTGGCCTTTAACACAGTATAAAAAATAAGTCTTCAAGCTAAGTAAAGGTTAAATAGATAGAGCGCCGCAAGCCTAGAGCAGCTGGGAAGGAGGGGGATAGGGAGGAGGTGGGTGAGAGGGGCGGGGACATGCAAATAGGGAACTCCCTTCCTGTTCTGTCATTGGGCGGAGCGCCAAAAGGGGGGCTTTGAGGAGCTTTAATAGAAGCAGCCGCTGGAAGAGCAGAATTTGGGGGAGGCTGGTGCAGAAGAGCGCAAAGGAGAGTGAGTTAAATGCAATGGTTAAAGGCTTTTTATTTGTCCCCCGCCAATTATTTGGCTGGCTGGCTAGCCTGATTTTTTTCCCCCTCTCTTCCCCCCCCTTTGGGCTTGCTGTCCATGGAGGGACAGGCAAGCAGGAGACTAGGCCAGTTTAGGGTGGATGAGATTTGATATGTCAGAGAAAAACATAGGTGCATTTAGATCAGCCTGAACTATGCATTGGAGCCTGCATGCCTCGTAATTCTCCTTTTTCTTCCCAAATGGGTAGCTATGTTAGTGTGTCAGCCTGATTTGCATTAATGTTTAAAGAACCTAAAAACAAAAGCAGATTAGTGCCTGTAAGACAGGCAGGTATATTGCAGTGTTTGTGGATCACAAGTAGAAATGTGCAGATGTGGGTTTTTCAGGACCTACAGTTATGCTGTTTAAGGGATTCTGGAAATTGTAATCTGAAAACATAAATCTGGACCCTTCGAAGTGCGACAGGTAGCTGAGGGGTTTAGGCATCTGGCTACAGAGGCAGAGGTTGTGGGTTCGATTCCTCCCTGTGGCTGCTAGGGAAAGAGCCAGCCTGGGTGGCCTTGGGCAAGCTGTACAGTCCCAGGGCTCCCCCTAGAGGAAGGGAAGGGGAAACCACTTATCTGTACTTAGAAAATCCTCAAAAGGGTCACCCCATAAGTCAGAATTGACTTGATTAGCACATGATTATTATTCCTTGGGTACATGGAGTGAAATATTTAATCATGGTCTTGTGTACCCTTGTGGATGATAGGGTGGGGACCCTACCTTCAAGATCAAGAGAAATATTGGATTTTCAAAGCCAGAGGGGGTCATCCGTGTGGCTGCAGAGATGGTGAGATCTCCTTAGAAGTAAATAAGAGCTTAAGAGGATTTAGGTGCTCTCCTAATTTTTTTGGCCAATATGGTATAATAATTAAAGGGGGAGGCAGCGGATTTGGATCATAAGATCCTGGCTCTAGTCACCACCAAGCGGTGATCTAGTCTTTCTTAGACTAGATCACTTTTTAGCCTGATTTACCTTGTAGGTTGTGGGATGGAGCCATGGATGCCGACTTGATTTAAAACAACCCAAGCTGTTTAAACATCATTAAAATACTACCTATAAAAAACAACAACTCTGCAGCCTCTTAAAAGCCAAGATCCTGTCCTAACGGATAGCTCAGTGGGGTTTAGGTCTTGGGCTGTGGAGCCAGAGGTTGGGAGTTCGATTCCTCCTTGGGCCTCCTTGACAGAGGCTGGACTAGAGGATCCAGACGGTTCCTTCCAGCTCTGCATTTCTATGATGAAGATGGTTGAATCTCGGTGGCTCTGGGATACAGCCGTGTTTTCACTTGTTGCCGATCAAACCTCTTTCAGGAGCCGGCTGATGGTGACTGAAATCATCCCTCAGAGTTTTGCCTCATAGAAGAGCATCATGCAGAGAAATCCAGAAGGCGCTGTCATTGTGGGCCGGAACCCCTTGCAGTACTCTATTCACAATAAGACTGGTATGTGGGGGTGGGGGGCAGAAGATAAATATATATTTTTTCTTCCTCTCAAGGTTAGAGTGGACATAAATAGAAAGGAAGAAGAATGACAAATATTTATATAATCTTCTTCTTGGATCAGATCAAACACCTACCTCATCTGGTGTCCTGTTTATCTACCAAGCGGTCCAGAAGGGTGATAACTTTGTGTCTGTTTCCTGGTGATATTATATAATACCTTTGCTTGTTTATATTATTTGGTATTAATCCCATTAAGGGGATTTCTGGTTTAAATTGTATTTCTTGCTTAGTCATTTGCTTAATCCATGTATGAATTTTAATCTAGTATTTCCTTGCCATATCACATGTCCACCATGCATGGTAATAAGTTCCTTCTTGGTTTTTGCATTTCCAACATTTATTTGAAATGTTGGCAGAGATTTTTGTAAGTCTGGACGGAGGGAGATGCCATCTATAAAATATTTTGTATAGATTTTCCTTATAAGAAGTTGCTAATGTTAGCTTAAGATTTGTTTAGTCCACATTTGTTGCCATTTTTCTAGCTCTATACTGTCTCCTCACTGGGAAGCTTGTGCCACAGAATTGGGGCCACCACTGAGAAGGCCCGGTTCCTCGTTGTCACCTTTTTAACCCTCCCTTCATGTGGATACTTTTAACAATGTAAATTTTGTAGAAAGCCTCATATTCTTTCTCCCGATCGGCTTATTTTCTGTGTTTGTGTGTCGTCATTTTTTTAAAAATCACATTAGAAAAGTAGACCTAGGAAAACCTTTTTTTCTGTTCTCATTACAGAAGACGAGGACTCCTGCAGCAGGAGTGAACTGCAGATGTTCAATGCTGAGTATTCCGCAGAACTGGACCCCCTCGATGCATTCAGAAGAGGTGGCGAGAGTCTTTCGCCTTGCCTCGAAGAGGACGTGCTCTTTCATTATCAGCAGAAACCAGAGACTCAACAGACAAGCTGCCTTCTGGAGGCAGCAGGGATGTCTGGCTCTTACTGGGGAAGATTTCGGGACCTCAGCAAAACAGCCAGCCAGCAGATAGTGGCCCCGGGTGAGACTGAAGAGGAAGGGATCGAGTGTCCCGCCGAAGGGAACTGGCGGCCAGATTTTGTGATCGGCAGGAGAAGCCCTCAGAAACCGGACAAGCCATATCGGTGCTCCGAGTGTGGCAAAAGCTTCAGCGTGAGCTCCGACATCATCCGACACCAGAGGATCCACACGGGAGAGAAGCCGTACAAGTGCTCGACCTGCGGGAAAGGGTTCAACCAGAACTCCCACCTCACTGCCCACCAGAGAACGCACACTGGGGAAAAACCGTACGGGTGCTGGGAGTGTGGGAAAAGCTTCAGCTTGAGCTCCGACTTCACAAGGCACCAGAGGATCCACACGGGGGCAAAGCCCTACAAGTGTTCAGAGTGCGGGAAGGCCTTCATTCAAAAATCGCACTATATTACCCACAGGAGAAACCACACCGGGGAAAATCCGTATAAATGCTCCGAGTGTGGGAGAGGATTCACCTCCAGCACGCTCCTGATCCGACACCAGAGGATCCACACAGGCGAGAAGCCCTTCAAATGCTTGTTTTGCGAGAAAAGGTTCTGCGCCAGCTCGAACCTGGTCACCCACATGCGCACGCACACGGGGGAGAGGCCCTTCCAGTGCCTGGAATGTGGGAAAAGCTTCAGCCAGAAATCGACCCTGGTGGCGCACGAGCGGACCCACACGGGCGAGAAACCGTTCAAATGCTGGTGCGACAAAATGTTCAGCAAGAGCTCGGACCTCCTCGCTCACGAACGAACGCACACCGGAGAGAAACCATACATGTGCCAAAGTTGCGGCAAAAGCTTCCGCACAAGCTCCCATCTTATAAGGCACCAGCGGATTCACACAGGGGAGAAGCCGTATAAATGTTCCCAGTGCGAAAGAAGCTTCAGCGCGAGTTCGCACCTCCTCAGACATCAGAAAATCCACTTGGGGGGAACCTGACAGTCATGCATAATCATCATTCCCCCCCCCCGCCTACTCCCTCAAACCCATCCCAGATCCTCCCTGGGATGCCAGACAAGCGGGACGTTGTTCTGTGCAATTTAATGGGTGCTGGATTTGCACCCCTGATGGGACTGACGTTTAGGTCGACAAGTTTCCGGAAGGCTGTGTTAGGTTAGGCTGGGCCGACACCCTTGGGCTGCTAGTAAGGAAGGACTTACATGGGGATTTCCAATGTGGTGGCCATTTTAATTTGTGTTAGTATCTTGGCAGGATTGAATGGGAGGGGGAAAAAGGTGAGCAAGAAAGCAGTGGGAAGAAGAGGACAAAATGTTGTGGCCCCTTAAAGGCCTATGGATTTGCTTCAGGGTGTACTTTTGGAGAGCAAAATCCACTCTGGTGTCTGAGGAAACCAGAAGCCTTTGTAGTTAAGTCCCTGCAAGGATTTGTCAGGTTGACGCTTGGGGAAACCCATAAGCTAGGCATGAAGGGGAAACCTCCCTTCTGCTCTTGTTCCTGCTGGGAGCTGCATGTCTTTATGCAGGGGTGGGCAATTAATTTCAATAGGGGGGGCCACATGAAAAATCTGAACTGTGTTCGGGGGCTGAACCAACTTTACTTAAAAATAAGCCCCCATTAGGTGGGTAGTAATGGGCCCCCAATTTGTGGGTAGTAATAGGCCCCACGTTGGGTGAGGCCCTGCAGTGAACGAACTACAAGGCTGACATAGTTAACTCCCTAAACTTTTCAGGAAGTTAACTATATGAGCTTTGTAATTTGTTCACCTTCGGGGGGGAAGAAAAAACCCCCCAACACTGAGCTAACCCACCTGTCCTCCGCTCCCCCGCGGCCTTCCTCTCCGACTGTCTTCCATCCCACACACAAGGATTGCTTCCAGCCTCTTGAGCCTCAGGCTCCGCAGCCTGCGGCTCAAGAGTAACAGTCAAAACTCGCGAGATCCCAGTGTTGGATCTCGCAACTTTTGCTTACTGCCGTGAGCTCCAGCTCACACAGTGGCAATGGGCGGGCCAGACTGGAGCGACGACCGGCAGGTTGGACAGGAGTGGCTCACAGGCCGTATGCCCAGGTCTGTCCTTATGCCTGTGATAGCACCGGAGGTAGAATATACTGTAGCTTCCCCAACTGTCCAGGACCTTCGCCTTATTCAGGAACAGAGTACAGTGGTGCCTAATTTAACGACGATAATCTGTTCCAGGAAAATCGCCATTAAGCGAAAACATTGTAAAACGAAATTAAAACCCCCATTGAAACGCATTGAAACCTGTTCAATGCGTTCCAATGGGGTAAAAACTCACTGTCCAGTGAAGATCCTCCATACGGTGGCCATTTTCGCTGCCTGTATAGCAAGAAATCTGTCCCTAAACACAGCGGGGAGCCATTTTAAGCACCCGGCGGCCATTTTGAAACCACCGATCAGCTGTTAAAAAAACATTGTTTTGCGAAGAATCGGTTCCTGAAGCAGGGAACTGATCATCACAAAGCGAAAAAACCCAATTTGACCATCGTTTTGTGATCGCAAAAAGATTGTCATACAGTGATTTCATCGTAATGCGGGGCAATCATTAAGCGAGGCACCACTGTACATTCAGAAGTGCGACCAGGCAGAGCATCTGAGCCCTGCCCCCTGGCCTGCCGGTGGTGAAGAAAAATAGCGGGCAATGTGGTTAGATGGGTCTTTTGTCGGGGATTTTTGGTCTGCTGTTCCCTGAACGACCCCCAGCAGAACTCCGGCAGTTCCAGCAGGGTCGTTTTGCTCATGGAGGTACGGCTGCAGCGGGGTCTTCAGCCCAGAAAGGTCCAGCCCAACGAAAAAAACTACATGAAGCACGCAAGGTTGTAAGAACTCCCAAATGTTTGGTTTTCAAATGAATCCTTTATTTGGACACCTGAATGGGGCTCATTCCCTCTCCGTGGGTCCATCCAGTCTCTTCCTAAAGGTCGGTGGTGGCTGCCAGTCTGTCTTTGCCAAGGAGGTTTTTCTGGAGCAGCTACTTCAGAGTGGCACGCCTTGCCTGAGATGATGCCCCTGTGGAGTGATGGTTCTAGTAAACGAACATCTGCGCCACGAGACCCAGTAAAATAACACCGCCCCCCCGCCTTAGGCCTCCACTTGTCTTGACCCCACAGGTCCTTTAAGCTGGGGGTTCTCTCGTTGGTTTTGTCCAAACCATGTCAACCCAGTGGAACCCAATTACAGTGGTGCCCCGCATAGCGATGTTAATCCGTTCCGGATTAATCGTTGCTATGCAGAAACATCGCTAAACGGATCGAAAAACCCCATAGGAATGCATTAAACTTAGTTTAATGCGTTCCTATGGGGCCCTAAACTCACCGTTCAGCGATGTTCCTCCATAGTGCCGCCATTTTTGTGCCCTCGGTAAGCGAGGGCAAGGCGTAAAAACACTTGTGGTGGCCATTTTGGGCGTCCGGTGGCCATTTTGGAACCACCGATCAGCTGTTCTGTAAACATCGCAATGCAAAGATCGGTAAGCGAAACACTTACCGATCATCGCAATGCAAGTTTTTCCCTATCTAAACATTGCAATGTGATTGCTTTTGCGATCGCAATTGCGACATCACTATGCGGATTCATCGTTAAACGGTGCGCTCGTTAAGCAAGGCACCACTGTATCTACCCCCCTTCTTCATGAAAATAAAGCCCCCTTGCCCATCAAAACAGTTGAAGAAATGCCACACAACTACGACTTTGTAAATTTTCCAGGGTGTTCCCTGCATAGCATTTTTGAACGACACCTCCCAGCTTCTCAGGAGTTTTCCAAAATACAGATCTCACTTGTGATTCCGAGTGCTGATGTCCTTCCTTGAAGATGGCAGTCAATACAGTGGTGCCTCACTTAATGATGATAATCCGTTCCAGGAAAATCTCTGTTAAGCGAAAACGTCGAGGGAGAGCGAAATCCTCATTAAGCAAAATAAAAAATCCCATTGAAATGCATTGAAAAGCATTCAATGCGTTCCAATGGGCTAAAAACTCACCGTGCAGCGAAGATCCTCCATACGGCAGCCATTTTCGGTGCCTGTATAGCGAGGAATCCGTCCCTAAGCACAGTGGGGAGCCATTTTAAGCACCCGGTGGCCATTTTGAGAACCCGACTATCAGCTGTTTTTGATCGTCGTAAAGCGAAAATCAGTTCCCAAAGCAAGGAACCAATCATCACTAAGCAAAATTCCCCCATTTAGACCATCGTTTTGTGATCACAATTGTGATCGCAAAAACATTGTAAAGCGGATTTGTCGTAATGCGGGGCAATCGTTAAGTGGGGCACGACTGTATATAGAGGGTGGGCGAGGGTAGGGATAAATTACAGAGCAGAGTTCGCTGTGCATCTCTGGGTCTTGTTGGGCTCCCGCTCCTATCAGCTCCAGCTGGCATAGCCCTAAATATGGGGGGATGTAGTCAGATACCACCTGGAGGGCTGTAAGTTACCCCTCTGTATGGCTCTATCCAGTCTCTTTCTGCTTCACTCCAGAGTTAAAATAAGCCAGCTGTCCTCAGGTGGTGTTCTCCAGAGGTTTGTAACATCAAGTCTCATGATCCCACACCATGAGCCATGGCAGGCTGGGGATAACGGGAGTGGGAATCCTGAATCTTTTCAGAGCTCCAGGTTGGGAAGTGAAATAAAAGATTCAGAAATATTTGGATTGTGGGAGAAGCATCAGTTGTGGATTGCACTGCAGCAGGCGCAAGAGACCGCATGCCTATTCATCCAGGTTAGAATCTCCAGCTTGTAGAAAGAGGTGTGTTCTCTCCCTGTTGGGGGGAAAAAGTTACCTTCTTTCATCAGGGAAATTCAAATACTGTATAGTTTACAAGTACAATAGTCGCTCATGCATTTGTGTGTGTGTGTGTTTTGTGGCCTCAAGTCGAAACCATAGGGACCCTAATAGGGCTTTCAAGGTAAGTGAACTATTTAAAGAGTGGGTTAACCGTTCCACTCCCTCAATCTGTTTCCATGGCTGAGCAAGGATTTGAGTCCTAATCATCATCATCTTAGAACGACTCATGGAATCTAGCCCTTGTCAAGGAGGCCCATGCAGGGAATCGAACTCCCAACTTCTAGCTGCCTAAATCACTGAGCTATATTATATCCACTGTGCCACACTGGGAATCACTCATCAATAATTAAGGGTTACTTGTTTGCTAAATTGACGCTGGCCACGATGCTCTTGAGTCTTAATCTTTAAAAGGATCTTTTTTTAAAAAAAAGTTCTAGGTGAGTCAAAGGTCTTCGTTGTCATACTTCCGGCCAACTGGATTTCTATTGTGAGACTCACAAGCTGTGTGTGACGATGGTGCCCATCCCCTGCTATGTACTTGCCACTTCACCTATTAAAGTGTGCTGCTTCTATACCACCCCACGAAGCTTAAAGTCCTCTCTTTGTGGTTTACAATGCAATTCTGCAGTTTACACATTACTCTCCCCACCCCCCAAAAAAAATCAAGCAAGGAACCCAATTTACTGACCTCAGAGGGATGGAAGGCTGAGTCAATCTTGAGCTGGCTTCCTGAGCCTGTCCGGATTGAACTCAGGTTGTGAGCAGAGGCCTGACAGCAGTACTGCAGTTTAACCATGATGCCATGAGGCCCAAGTGGTATTCAAAGGTAGACTGCCTTTAAATCTGGTGGCTCTATCTCTTATGGTGAATAATGGCCAGTAGACCTTTTTCCTCTGTGTTTAATCAAGTCTTTGGGGCCATTTAAGGAATAAGGACAGTTTCAGGTGGCTGGCAAGAACACTTGGGGGTCACTGCCTCCACCTCACCCCACAAAAGGTGACATTCTACTGCCTGTAAAGGCAAGGAAAAATCTCTCTCTGCCGGACTGCCCTCTGGCCACTGGCCTCCTTTCTGGTCTCCTGTCCTGCTCAGCAAGCTCCTTTTATCTGCCAGCAGAGAGGTGCGGCTCTGTGAGGTCACAAAGACCCAGGACAATGGGGTTGGGTTCCCAAGGCGATGGGAGCAGCAGCACCCTTGGGATTGGCTGAATCCTGAGAATGATGTCAACAGTCCCTCTGATCATGTGATTCACCCACAAAAGCTTGCATTTTGCATGATTTTTTAAAAACTTTTTTTTAATTAATGTATCCCCTGTCACCAATCCCTCTGATTGTTAAATCTCCCCATGTTGGCCTTCTGACAGGATTCTAGGCTGGTGCTCCAAAAAGTTATCCTCCAGCATTTTCACCAAAAGGAAATTTCCTAAGCCGTGAGCTGGGGGGGGAATTAAGTGGTCCTGAGGGACTAGATAGGCGTGATATTAAATGAATGAATGAATGAATGAATGAATGAATGAATGAATGAATGAATGAATAAATAAATAAATAAACCAACCTTTGGAACTCCCTCCCACTGGAAGGCAGACTTGCCCCATCTTTGCTATCCTTCCACCAAGCCGGAGATGTTCCTCTTCAGCCAAGCTTTCCCTTATGGACTGGCTGCCTGGGTTGGGATCTTGAATGGACTGTTGTGCCTTATTTCTTTGAACGCAATTTTGGTGTTGCTTTTGTTTCCTGTTTTTAGTGGGGTATTTGTTCCTGTAAATTCCTTTTTTCCAGCATCTTTCGAAGCGTGGCTGCCAGGGACTGAACCTGCAACTTCCTCCATGCCAGATGTGCTGCCAGCCTCTGAACTAAATTGCTCCCGTCACATTCTCCATTGCTGATGCCATCATTAGCCTTAGCTGGCCTTTCGTTATGGATGTCTGGTACCTATTATATGTAGGTGCTTGCGTACTGGTGTTTGCATGAGGTTTGAGTGACGTGCCCTGATTGGTTGATTGATAGGTGCCAAGGAGTGTCTGAGTCACATGCCAGGTCACGTGCCTGATTTGTGCAACCAGGATGTACCTCAGCACTTCATCAATCAGCTGCAGGTAGCCATGGCAAGTTACTCATATTTTATGCAAGTGCCAATAGGATTCCAATTAAAATGTCTATAAATAGAAAGTGCTTCCTATCTGTCTCCCTTTCAGCATTGAGCACATTACTGCAAAAGTACTGCAGACAGTTGGGTAGACATCCATTTCTCTCAGGCTGGACATACAATAGGACCCCTGTATCCACAGTTTCACTTATCCGTTGTCTGAAATTGTGAAAACAGTTAAAAGAAAAAGGAAAAAAAACTAGAAATAGGTATTTTCGCAATGTATTTACCCAAACTGGCCACTACAGGGACGCCGAGACCATACTAGGTATTGTTATTGTTGAAGAATACATAGTTCCCTTGGTTGGCCAGTTCTGGTGATATAAGTGAAAATACATATTATTGGATTTTGCTCTTTTACCATGCTAATTATTACAGTGGGGTCTTGACTTGAGAACTTAATCCGTATTGGAAGGCGGGTCTCAAGTCAAAAAGTTCGCAGGACAAATCTGCATTTCCCATAGGAATGCATTGAAAACCATTTGATCCGTATCTGCTCTTTTCCGTCCATAGAAACTAATCGGAAGCTGCTATTCCGCCTTCGACCACTAGAGGGGGATATTTTGTTTCTTTTTTCTTAGGTCAAGAAAGGTTCAGGGAAGGCAGGGAAAATACAGTCCGGCAGTACAGGACCAGCCAGTCCGAAGACTGTCTCCCAATCCACTCTCTAAACGCTGGGAGGAGTGAGGAAGCAGACAGGCACCCTTTTCACTGGCCAACAGTTAACTGAAAGTTCAAATTTTGCCCTTTCCCTGCCTCCCACGTGGTTTTTTTTAGTTCTTAACTCAAATCTAAGTATGTAAGTCAAGTCAATATTTTCCTATGTCAAAATGTTCTTAACTCAAGCCATTCTTAAGTCAAGACCCCACTGTACATCTTGCATTTGGTCTTCCTGATCTCCCACTGCCTCCCACCTTTTCCACCGTGATTGTCTTTTCCAGGGAATCTTGCCTTCTCACGATGGGCCCATAGTAGGCTAGCCTCAGATTCATCATTTTTGCCTCCAGAGATAGTTCAGGCTAGAATTGATCTAGGACCCATATATTTGCATTTCCGGCAGTCCTGGGTTACCCACAAAACTCACGTCTAGGGCCACATTTCAAATGAATCAATGTCCAATGTCCAAGTTTCCTGTAGCTTTTATCACTGCCCAGCTTTCACACCCATACAGGTTGATCAGAAAAGACAAACGTGTGGATGGTCTTACTCTTGATCTCCTGCAATAGGTCTTTTACACTTTTCTAATTCCTTCATCGTTGCCCTCCTAGGAGCTTAATAGACTCTTATTCATTTGACCCTTGGGTGTTGTTGGATGGCAGAAACTGTCCTTCCTTCCTTCCTGCTCCAATCCTTTATCTGGAGTAGATCATTAGCAGGAATTTTGGCTGAATTTTCAATCCAGAATCGATGAGAAAGAGATCAAGTGTGCGAACCCCAAATTTCCAGAAGGTGTTGTTGTTATTGCATGTGTTGCATAGGGTTTTGTGAGAAAACCAAAGAAAACAGACTACCTAAGGAGGTATCTCTGGAGGAACCCCAGAGGGCTGAAAGGTTACAACCTTCCCTTCCTGCCTCCCCTCCTCCTCTTTAAGAGTCCAAAGGAAAGCGGGAGTGGGAGGGTGGAGTCTCTCTCAGGGGTTAAAATGAGGGAGTGATAATTCCTAGACAGGCCCGACCAGGGATGGCATGGCAACCTCTGCTTCCTGCTCCGCCTCTGGGTACAAAGCGCACCCTATCAGCTTCTGGCTTGGGCCATCAATGGCACCGCCTCTTCCCCTCCGCTTCCAAAGCACTTGGTGAGTGACAGCTGCCTTGAGGGCGCCAGGGAGGGAAAAGGGAGGGGGAGGAAAAATGAAGCTCGAAGGGAGGGGGGAGAGTCCATCCATCGGGCCCACGTTTTAGGAGGCGTGGGTAGCTCCTGACTCTGGGTTTTCCTAAGGCAGTAGTTCCCAACCTTGGGCCTCCAGAGGTTCTTGGACTACAACTCCCAGAAGCCTTCACCATTAGCTGTGCTGGCCAGGATTTCTGGGAACTGCAGTCCAAGACTGCAAGTGTTTGTAAGCCACCTAGGGTGGTCGCAAGACCAGATAAGCGGGGTATAAGTAGAGTAAATAAATAAAAAATTATAAATAAATAAATAAATAAATCATCTGGGGGGCCTCAAGATTAGGAACCATTGCTCTAAGGGATTCCAGGCATCTGGTTGGTTACAAAGTGAATGGGGCGCAGAGGAACCCTAGAAAGTGCATGAACATGGGAAAAGGGGGGTTCAGGAGATAAATGAGGGAGGACAGACACCTCACCTTCATCCCTAAAGGAAAGACACAGATAGCAGGAAATCTGTGGGATAAATGGCTAAACATTCTCACTGAGCTGCTTGGAAGCTGTTGGGGAAACTTGGCCACCCCTGGATAAGGCAAGCATAAGGTAAGGAGCCAGTATTTCTCTCTAAAAGACATGCCTATAATCTTTGCAACTGAGTTGAAACTGAGCGCATCCTAAGAAAGCAGGTTTCTCTGGAGACCACAATAACACAGTGGAAGGCAGGAGAAAAAGAGGAAGTCCAAACATGAGATGGACTAGCTCCCGAAAGGAAACCACAGGCTTGGGTTTGCAAGATCTAAGCAGGGCTGTGGGTGGAGACACTGCATTTATGGGGGTTGCCATCCTAAGTCGGGGCGACTTGGCAGCACATAACAACAGCAACATCATATTTGAAGAAAGGGATACAAGCCGGTTGCTCCAGCCACATAGAGGATGCTGATGGCTGTGGCCTTATAAAACTGAATTGTTCTCGGAAGTGACTTCACATATCTATAAGAGAATAAATTTGGAAAACTGGCCAAGCTTTGTTGCAACTTGTGCCACTCATTTAGTTGAATTATGAAAATAACTTCTCAAATGTTTTGAATATACTGTACTTTTTTTCCAGTTGGAAGGCTAGCAAATATCCTTGCTGTATTCTTGAAAAGAGCAATATTTTGGTCTGATTAGAATATATACGTAGCTATGTACAGTAGGACCACAGTATCTGTGAGAATCGGTTCCAAGCCCCTGCTCCCTGCGGATGCTGAAAAATGCAGAACTATCCAATGCTATATACTGTATCGTGTAGTACCTGGCTAACTCTAGAGGCCAAGTCTGATAAATACACTCTAGAAATACATATACATAGGTATTTCTGTGATTTTTTTTTAATTTAGTATTTTCAGCCAACAGATAAGTGAATCAGTGAATACTGACGCCATGGATAGGGGGTCCTACTGTATTTTAAAAATTATTTATGAAACTACTCTGCACTTACATCTGTGGCCAAGTCAGATTAGGGGGGATAACTTGCTAAATCTCCTCTATGCATAGATAATGATAGATATTTGCTGTTAAAACCGAAAATTAGTTTTACAGAGACCCTCGGGCATCTCAGTCAGCAAAAAAGTTAAATGAGATTGGAAGAAGCATGCTTCCTTGCCTCACGGCTGTCATGGAATCTGAGCCTTTTGAAAAAAGAACCTGCAGATAATTATAGCAGACCTGAGCAGTGACATCTTGTTATGTGCCATCAAATCATCCTTTACTTATGGTGATCCTATGGACGAGTGATATCCAAAATGCTCTGTCCTCAACAGCCCTGCTCAGCTCTTGCAGACTCAAGCCTGTGGCTTCCTTAAGGAAGTCCGTCTATCTCCTATTTGGTCTTCCTCTTTTCCTGCTGTCTTCTTTCTTTCCCAGCGTTCTTGTCTTTTCCTGGGAATCCTGCCTTCTCATGATGTGCCCAAAGTAAGACATTCTGGCACATAGCCATGATCAGAAATTATAAGTATCAATCTATTTCTGGTTAACTAACCATGGAACAGTCTGGAGCACTGGTTCTTTAATGCAGAATATGTTTGGGAAAAGACCCCAGGCCCAGAAAGGCTGAGAAACAGTAGCCTTGGTCTGCACTAATCCTTCACACTCTCTACCCCCAGGGTTTGCCTTGCTTTCAGGTGATGGGAGAATTAAACAGAGCACCAGCTGAGTCCCTTGGGGTAGAGAAGGTTCTACCAGACCACAGACAGAAGCCACCATTCAGATGGATTGTTCAGGAGAGCGATGGAGCTGCCACCTCCCTGGGTAAGGGCTTATGAGAGCTGTCTTCCACTTCCAGCTTGGCTTCGCTCCCTGAAGTTGGTCAGAAATGCCTTGGATGCTTTCGTAGTCTTTAGAAGCATAGCTCAGTGGTTTAGGCATCTGGTTGGGGAGCCAGAGTTCGGGAGTTTGGTTCCCCACGGGACCTTCTGGGAGAAGAGCAGAAGCATAGCTCAGTGGTTTAGGCATCTCGTTGGGGAGCCAGAGTTCGGGAATTCGGTTCCCCACGGGACCTTCTGGGAGAAGAGCCAGCCTGGGTAGACTTGGGCAAGCTGCACAGTACCAAAAATACCCCCAGAAGAAAGGAAGGGTGAAACCACTTCTGTGTATACCCCCAGGAGAAAGGAAGGGTGAAACCACTTCTGTGTATTTTCTACCTAAGAAACGCTGGAAATGGTCATCATCAATCGGAATTGACTTGACGGCACATGATGATCATTAGTAGAAGCAGAGAAGAACATAAGTACACTGGTGCCTCGCTTAGCGATCGCTCTGTTGAGCGACGAAATCGCTTAGCGATGGACTTTTTGCCATCGCAAGAGCGATCGCTTAGCGATGGTCCCTATGGAGAAAATTCGCTTTGTGATGATCGCGGGGAAGCGATCATGGCAAAGTGACCCTTTTTAAACAGCTGATCGGCAGTTTCAAAATGGCCGCCCCCTGTTTTGCCTCGCTTAAGAGGCACCGAAAATGGCCGCCCCTATGGAGGATCTTCGCTTTAAGGTTAGTTTTGAAGCCCATAGGAACGCATTAATGGTGTTTTAATGCGTTTCTATGGGCTTTTTAATTCCGTTTAGCGATGAAATCGCTTAGCAATGTTTTTTCCTGCACAGATTAACGTCACTAGGTGAGGCACCACTGTAGTGCTGAGTTAGATCAAAGGTCTTAATTCCTTAGAATCAAAAAATCATGAAATTTCAAGGCCATCAAGCCCAACCCCCTGCTCAATGCAGGGATACAAATCAAATGATATCTGCCAGGTGGTTGCCTACCTTTCTCTTGAATGCCTCCAGTGTTGGCGCACTCACCACGTCTTGCAGTCATGGGTTCTGTTGTCGTACTGCTCTAACAGTTAGGAAATCTTTCCTGATATTCAACCGAAATCTGGCTTCCTGTAACTTGAGCCCATTGTTGCATATTCTGCACTCTGGGATGATTGAGAACAGATCCTGCCCCTCCTCTGTAGGACAGCCTTTCAAGTCTTTGAAAAGTGTTATCATATCTCCCTTCCGTCTTCTTTTATCAAGGCTAAACATGCCCAATTTTTTTCCCCGTCGTTCTTCCTAGGGCTTGGTTTCCAGCCCCCTTAGCATCCTTGTTGCCTTCCTCTGAACTTGCTCCAATTCAATCCTTTGTTCTCTTTATGCATGTTTAAAAAACTTTAAAGATTCAGGGGAGTGGGGCGGTTTTTTCTGATCTACTGCTTGATATAAGAAATCCAGTGCTGAGGCAACCCAGAGGAGATCTCTGTCCTGTCTCATCTCATGGTGATAAATCCCTTTCAATCTAAGAAGCAAAATGGCAAGTACTTAATTCAAGATGGCAACATCGATTTGCTTCCCTTCTCCCTCACAGGTAGCAAAATGATCTTGGAACAGAGTTCATGGCCTTCTTGGGGAGAAAGCATGGAAATGGTGGCTTTAGAGGTATGTCATAAAATAGTGATTTTACCAATATTTGATAGGGAGCAAGGTCAATATTTGATAGGGAGCAAGGACAACGAAAGAATTGATTTCCAATTTACTATTGCTATTATTACAATTATTATTAGGTAGTAAATGTTTTAGGTTTGTATGATTTTATTTTACTTTTTTAAAAAATAAAAAAGGTTGCTGTACAGTGAGATCAGGTAAGAGAAAAGTAACAGAAGATGCTCTAAGAGTGGGGAATCAATATAGATCTCCTTCGTGTGAAAGGGTAAGAATGAAAGTGCAGCCTTGCTGGATTCAACCAGAGGTTCAGGCAGTCCATCAGAAACAAATGCAATCTAAGAATGAAATTCCTATCAAAATCAGATGAACCAGCACTAGAACTGGGACCCACAAACTAATCTGTTTTTTGTTTCTTTAAAAACTGCAACACATGTTTCCTTTTTTTTGGGGGGGGAAACATATTTGGAATTGTTGGTACATTACGTAAACATCAATATTCATGTTATTTGGTGAACCTTTCCTTCTCACGGCCAGCTCTCTATCAAGAGCTACCATATCTTTCCATGTATAAGACGATACTTTTGTCTAAAATCTTTAGACTAAAACTTGAGAGTCGTGTTATACACGGAATAAGCTGAGGAGAGAACCAAAACAAGTGGAGGGGAAAGCAGGGATCAAAGCGATCCTGCAGCGCTTTGATCCCTTTCCCCCTACATTTGCTAAGCTCCACTTAGATTTCTAAATTTTGGATTAGAAAAGTGGGGGGCATCTTATACACGGAAACATACGGTACTTTAAATTCGCAGGCTAGAACGAGTTAATGGAAGTGCTGGGTAATTATATTTGCTCTGAAAACAGCTTACAGACAGGCGTCGCTGTGGATTTGCAGCTCAGCACACACCTAACACATACAGAATTTATTTTCACAGTTGAGTGGGGAGCTCTGGGTTCTGCTGGAGATACTCCCCGACATTCACATTTCCTTTCTTTCTTGCATCTGAACTGAGAATTTCCATTACGAGCCTCTATGTTTTTTTGAGGGTCTGGTGACCTTTGAGGAGGTGGCCGTGGACTTGTTCACATTTCCTGCCTTTCTTGCATGTGAACTGAGAATTTTCCTTACGAGCCTCTATGTTTTTTTTGAGGGTCCGGTGACCTTTGAGGAGGTGGCCGTGGACTTCACCGAGGAGGAGTGGGCACTGCTGGATCCTGACCAGAAGGCTTTGCACAGAGAGGTCATGGCGGAGAATTCTGCTAACCTGGCTTCAGTCGGTAAGGTATCCAGAGATATTATCCATAACTACAGTGGTGCCTCACTTAACGAGTGCACCGTTTAATGACGAATCCGCATAGCGATCTATTTTTTTAGATCGCTAATGCGACCGCATTGCGATGTTTTAATGGGTAAAACATCGCATTGCAATGTTTTTTGAACAGTTGATCGGCCGTTCCAAAATGGCCGGAGTGCCCAAAATGGCCGCCCGCTGTGTTTTCGCGCCCTGCCCTCGCTTACTGAGGGTGCGAAAATGGCGGCGCTATGGAGGAACTTTGCTGAACGGTGAGTTTGGGCCTTGTTTGGACTTTGTTTAATGCGTTCCTATGGGTTTTTCCGTTCCGTTTAGCGATGTTTCCTCATAGCGACAATTAATCCGGAACGGATTAACGTCGCTATGTGGGGCACCACTGTACTGATAGCTCAGTGGTTCAAATCTGTGGCTACAGAGCTGGAGGTTGGGAGTTTGATTTCCCCTCCACCCCGGTCCTCCTTGGCAGGGGCTGCATTTGATGGATGAAAGGCTCCCTTCCAGCTCTGCAGTTCTAAGATGATGATCATGATGAACACTGCTCACTGTAGACAGTTGATGTGAGAGCAGAAAAATGGATTGTTTGGTGATTGTTTTAATTTGTTACCAAAAAGGAACTAACCAGCCGTTTCACATTGCAATGGATTGGGCTGTGATTGTTTTAATTTGTTACCGAAAAGGAACTAACCAGCCGTTTCACATTGCCCTTTTGTTCTTTTTCTCTGACAACAATATCTCTTTGTCAGCTTTGAAGCTGCGCAGATTGACATAAGACTACAGTACTTCATTTGGGTGTTTTAGATTTACAATATCTTCCCGTTGCGATGTGTCAGGTTACCTGTTTGCCAGGCTGTGATTGTTTTAATTTGTTACCGAAAAGGAACTAACCAGCCGTTTCACATTGCCCTTTTGTTCTTTTTCTCTGACAACAATATCTCTTTGTCAGCTTTGAAGCTGCGCAGATTGACATAAGACTACAGTACTTCATTTGGGTGTTTTAGATTTACAATATCTTCCCGTTGCGATGTGTCAGGTTACCTGTTTGCCAGTGTTGAAAGCTACGCAACTTTAGTGTTCAGGAGGAAGTTGATTATAGACCAAAATGGGATGGGCTGATAAACTCAGATGGCTGTAGATAGGAATGGTAGAAATGATTGGTGTGGGTTTTCTTTTTTTCTTCTTCTTCTACAGAAGCACTTTTGGGTCCCAAGCCTGAACCCATTTCCTGGCTTGGAAGAAAAGGGGATCAGTTCTTAAGGGATTACAAAGACTGCAAGAACCCCACAGGTAATTGCTTAATTGGGGAATGGGGGGGGGTGTCTTTGTCAGGTATACTGGGCTGTGAGCTGTGTTGCAGAGTTTTGAATTTTGATTCAGTTCCTCTGGCTCTGCAGCAGAAGTACAGGGATTCACAGAGCAGGTAAAGGTAAAGGTAAAGGTTCCCCTTGACAATTTTTGTCCAGTCGTGTTCGACTCTAGGGGGGGGTGCTCATCCCTGTTTCCAAGCCATAGAGCCAGCGTTTTGTCCGAAGATAATCTTTCCGTGGTCACATGGCCAGTGCGACTTAGACACGGAATGCCGTTACCTTCCCACCGAGGTGGTCCCTATTTATCTACTTGCATTTGCATGCTTTCGAACCGCTAGGTTGGCGGGAGCTGGGACAAGCGACGGGCGCTCACTCCGTCGCGTGGATTCGATCTTACGACTGCTTGGTCTTCTGACCCTGCAGCACAGGCTTCTGCGGTTTAGCCCACAGCGCCACCACGTCCCTAGTTCACAGTGCAGAGTAGCTTCAAATTCACCAGAGTAGACCCACCCTTTTTCTCATTATCTGGCACTTACTGGCCGCCTAGACTGGTCGCAATGACCAGATAGGCGGGATATAAAACAGACAAACAAACAAACAAATAAATTTCAGTCTCAATAGCTGACTCTGAAACATTAGTTGGTGGGGGGGGGGAATATAAAAGGTTTGATTTCCTTACAATTGAGCAGATCAAACAGCAAACTGAGAACAAACATGGTTCCTTTGAGCAACAGGCCTCAACAGACTCCCTGCTTCTAAGAGACTACTAATTGCCAGCAGACAACAGAGAAGGCAAAAGGTCCTAGAAGAGAGGCATGACTCTCTTTGAATCAGAAGCAGGGAAGGAAACAATTGGTTAGTGCTGAATAGATTGACAGTCACCCCAGCCCAGAAAGGTCCCTCCCAGCCACACCTACTAGAGGCAGCATGCGAGGTTGCAATAAGTCCAACAAGTTCTTCAGGAAGTTATTTATTTTGGATGAACATCACCCATGCCTCCTGGAGTTCCTTGTTAAAGGAAGTCACCACAGACTATATTGAGGAGGGGACCTTGCAATGGCTGAAATATAGGATGTGATGCTGAATTACATGGTTCAAATGGTTGGGGAAATATCGGTACACAAACAAGTCTTACCTGAACATAACGGTATTTGCTATTGGTCTGTCTTGTTCCAGATTGTCTGTCCTAACAATCTAGGCCTAGAAAGTCTCATTTAGAGGTCTTCTCGTCGTTCATGCCATTTGATGTTCATTCTAGTGGAGTTGATGGAGATTTTATCTGTGATTTGCCCAAATGGCCATCAGCAGTGGCTACTTTAATACACCAGACAATCCACCTCCCACTGCCTCTTTTCTAGGTTCTGTTATTTGAAGGTTAGTTTATTGTGTTGGTTCTCTAATTTGAGGACTTGTTCCTCTCTGATTGATTGTCCCTTTATTCCTGTAGTGTACAAGTTGGAGAGAGAAGGTAAGCTGCAGAAAATGCCAGGAAACCAAAAGCTAGGAGGACCGTCTTCTGACTGCAGCGGTACAGAGTTTTCTGAAACACCAGGGCAAGAGAAGTGTCATCTAGGAAATGAAACCTTCACAAGGAAGAAACCATTTAGATGCTCAGAGTGTGAAAAAGTTTTCAGTCAGTACAGCGCTCTTATTGATCACCAGAGGATTCACACGGGAGAGAAACTATATAAATACTTAGATTGTCGGAGAAGCTTCAGCCATATCTGTGACTTTGTTACCCATCAAAAAACACACAGCAGTGAGAAGCTGTTCAAATTTCCCAAGTGTGGAAAAAGCTTCAACAGGAAATGTGCCCTGATGGATCATCAGAGGATCCATACTGGGGAGAAACCTTACAAATGCTTGGAGTGTGGAAAGGTTTTTAGTCAAAGCAGTTGCTTCACTACCGATCAAAAATCCTGCACAGGGGGGAAACCATTTCAGTGCTTGGAGTGCAGAGAAAGATTTGGTCAGAGTTGGAGTCTTACTGAACATCAGAGAATCCCCACTGGAAAAAAACTATTTAGATGCCCAGAATGTGGGAAAGGCTTCAAGTGGAACTGTGCCCTTAAAGTTCATGAACGAATCCATACTGGAGAAAAACCCTATCAATGCTCAGAATGCGGAAAGAGCTTCAGTTGGAGCGGTAGCTTTGATTCTCATCAAAAAACTCATACCGATGAAAGACCATTTGAATGTGTAGAGTGTGGAAAGACTTTTAGGCAGAACAGTAGCCTTCATTGCCATCAAAGAATCCATACCGGGGAGAAGCCCTTTCAGTGCTCAGAGTGTGGAAAGAGCTTCCGAAGCAGCAGTAGCGTTGCTCGCCACCAGAGAATCCACAGAGGTGAGAAACCCTATGAATGCCTGGAATGTGGGAAGCGCTTTACCCAGAAAGGTAGCCTCATTTACCATCAAAGAATTCACACAAGGGAGAAACCCTTTGAATGCTTAGCATGTGGGGAGAGCTTCAGCGAAAGCAGCAGCCTGACAAAACACCAACGAATCCACACTGGGGAGAAACCGTATAAATGCTCGGTGTGTGGGAAGAGCTTTGCTCACAACAGTAAACTCACCGAACATCAAAGGATCCACACCGGAGAGAAACCCTATCAGTGCTCAGAGTGTGGGAAAAGTTTCACGCAAAGCAGTACCCTGACAGTCCACAAAAAGACTCACACGTTTAAGCCGTTTAAATGCCTGGAGTGCGGAAAGAACTTCCGTTCTGGTGAAAATTTGGCTTTTCACATTGGAATCCACGCAGCGGGAGCTAAGCAGTTACCAGAGAACTCCACGCCATGTTAGGAGTAGTGGGCACAGTTGGGATGTTGAGAAGGTATCATGGGGGCCATCGCAACAGACGTGTGGTGAGGAGTCCACGTTGTCACACCACACCCAATTCCCAGAATGCCAGACTGAGGAGGCTGGAAAACCACTTGTCCAAGAATGCTGTGTCGGGAACTGACCCCAAACACAGAAAACCATTCCTCTGAATCTACAGTTTTCCGATGTAAAAGCTTACCTTTATAAAACAAAGGCACACCCCTCTAGGCCCTAGGGACTTCTAAAATTGATCATCATCTCCATCATCAGGTGCCATCTAATCAATTTGGACTTACGGTGACCCTTCTCAGAGTTTTCCAGGTAAATACTCAGAAGAGGTTTCCCCTTCCCTTCCTCTAGGGGGAGCCGTGGGGCTGTGTCGCTGGCCCAAGGCTACATAGGCTAGCTTTTCTCTCAGGAAACACACAAGTGTGGAATCATACTCCCAGCCTCTGGCTCTGCAGTCAGATACCTAAACCTTCTGAGCTATCCAGCCAGAGAAGAAATGTTATCTGTCTAGCATAGCAAATTAAAAAGTTTTAATTTTTTAAAACCTATAATAATGACTAAAAAGGAAAGAATTCAATTCAACTGCACCGCAGAAGACACTTTCTGTTTCGTTGGTTTGTGTGATGTAAAAGCACTGCAATTTTCTTTCAAGTAGATTTTGGGGTGGGGTGGAAGAGAATTTTATAGTGGTGCCTCGCTTGACAATGTTAATTTGTTCCAGCAAAATAGCTGTAGAGCGACAACATCGTCAAATGAAACGAAAAAATCCCATTGAAACGCATTGTAAACCCGTTCAATGTATTCCAATGGGCTGAAAACTCACCATCCAGCAAAGATCCTCCATAGGGGTGGCCATTTTCGGTGCCTGTAAAGCGAGGAATCCGTCCTAGCGGGGGGCCATTTTGTACACCTGGTGTCCATTTTGAAACCCGACGATCAGATGTTTTTAGATCGTCATAATGCGAAAATTGATTCCCGAGGCAGGGAACCGATCATTATGAAGCGGATTTTCCCATTTAAACCATCGTTTTGCAATCGCTTTTGCAACCGCCAAAACCTAATTGTCAAGCGATTTCCTCGTTAAGCGAGGCAAATGTTAAGCGAGGCACCACTGTATTTTTAAAACTCGTACTACAAGCAACTAAGCTTTAGGTAAGAACCGCCAAAGCCGCAGCTCCCAAACGTTATGTTCTTAGATTTTGCAAGAAATATTTTGACCCTTTTAATTGTCATCATCATTATCATCTTAGAACAGCAGAGCTGGAAGATCATTGGGTCCAGCCCCTGCTGGGGGACATCCTTCCCAACCTCCATCTTTTGATGATGGGATCTGCCTTGGGTCCTTTTTAAGGAGAAAGGAAGGGTAAAAATATTTTAAATAAATGAATTCCCCTGCTGAGAGCAGCTCCCAACCTTATGTTATCATAAAACCAGCAATCATATTCTTGGAAGACATTTGATCCATTGTCAAGCTAACAAGAAGGCCCCTTTATTCTAGTTCTAGTAGCCTCCCCTCCCAATTTTTTAATTTGTAATCAGGATATGAATACCCAGTTCTACTCCTTCCCCTTTTATGGGACAGGTCAGTCAGCGTCCAGTGCATGACACGCCACAGCGGCTATAGCTACAATCAGCCTGTGAGTCTTGAATTTTCTTCTGGGGTCTGCAATGAATAATTGCAGCACACTTGTCAGTCGGCCGTGCCCCTTTTGAGGACATGCTATCCCACTGCCCTTTCACATGCATTTTCTGCACCCACCAAGTTCACTCAGCCCTTAGGAAACTCTGTCATGTGTTGTTAAGTCAGAACAGACCTATGGTGGCCTCAATAGGGCTTTCAAGGTAAGTGAGACATTTAAGAAGCGGCTTTATGAGTTTTCCACCCTTCTAGTGAGTTTCTGTCTCTGAGAGGGGATTTGAACCCAGGGCCCCTGAGTCCTAGGCATTGTTCTCAGTACATGTCCAGCAAGGACAGAAAAAGTTGTTTGAAAAATCCTAGTCAAAAGGCAAAAAGAACAAGAGAAAATGCAGCAATAAAAAGTGAGCACCATAGGATGGAGAAAACATACCAGATACCCACTTGAAAGATTTAGATCTAAAGGGATTTAAACATACAGAAATCTGTTTATTGGGGAAAATATTGAAATGATCAGTGAGGAACATGAGATAAACAGCATGGCAGATACCTATCTGGTTGTGTCATGAGTTCAAGCAACTTTTGTTTTATAATAACAATAATAATAACAACAACAACAACAACCATTTGCCATCAAGTCAGTTCTGAGTTATGGCAACCTTAGGCATTTAGCTGCAGAGGCAGAGTTTGGGAGTTTGATTCCCCGCTTGTGCCTTCTTGACAGGGCTGGACATGATGATCCATAGGTTCTCTTTGAGTTTTGCAGTTCTGTGATGGTAATGGTGATGATGATTTAAAATGCTGCAAATGGAGCTTTGTTTCAAACCAAAAAGGAACGTTAGAGATTGATGGCTTCGGGAACCTGAACTGTATTACAGCAAAAAACATTTGTTAAATGCATATCTTGTAAAACTACTTTCAAATGAAATGGTTTCCCTGGTTCATGATGTAAACAAGTTTTGCGCTATGCTGATATACAACTAAACTATTTCAGCACTATATCGGTTGTTAATTTTTTAAAAAGACTAGAATCAGCAGATATATGCATCAGAAGTACAAAATACATGTACAACAAAATATTTTATTAAGCCCAGGGCTGTGTCCTCATATGCAGCAGAGCAGGCAATGGGTGGGTGGTAACAAGGTATGTTGTTGTTATGTGCTGTCAAATCACCCCCAACATATGGCAAACCTGTGAATGAGCGATCACTAAAATGGTCTGTCCTCAGCAGTCCTGCTCAACAATGGTAGTTTCAGGCCTGTGACTTCCTTTAGGGAGTCAGTCCATCCAATATTTGGTCTTCCTCTTTTCCTGCTGCCTTAAAAGTGAGTATATAAAGTGGGGAAGGGGGTGTGGCTATGTGGAGAGAAAAAAAATGAGGAAGGGTGGGAGTGACCAAGAACTGTTATTAATATCACCCGTGTGCAGCAGTATCCTCGGATTAAAAAAAAGAGATCTATGTATGAGTCATAAAACCAGTGTGATCTGGGGCTGCAGTACAGACAGTTCATAAACATGAGACACATCCCCATACTTTTAATTTAACCTGCCTTAACCTGAGACACGTGGTGGCGCTGCGGGTTAAACTGCAGAAGCCTGTGTGCTGCAGGGTCGGAAGACCAGCCATCGTAAGATCGAATCCACGTGACGGAGTGAGCTCCCGTCGCTTGTCCCAGCTCCTACCAACCTATCAGTTCGAAAGCATGTAAAAAATGCGAGTAGATAAATAGGGACCACCTCGGTGGGAAGGTAATGGCGTTCTGTGTCTAGTCGCGCTGGCCACGTGACCACGGAAACTGCCTTCGGACACAAACGCTGGCTCTACGGCTTGGAGATGGGGATGAGCACCGCCCCCTAGAGTCGGACACGACCGGACTAAATGTCAAGGGGAACCTTTACCTCACCTGAGACAGACTGACCCTGTTGTTACGTGCTGTGAAGTTGCCCCTGACTCATGGGGACCCCATAAATCAGGAATCTCCAAAATGTCCTGCCCTCAGCAGCCATGCTCAGCTCTTTCAAACTCAGCCCTGTCACTTCCTTGAGGAAGTCAGCCCATCTCATACTCGGCCTTCCCCTTTTCCTGCTCCCGTTCACCTTTCCCAGCAGGATGATCTTTTCCAGGGAATCCTGCCTTCTTGTGATCTGCCAAAAAATACAAAACTCTCCGGGAAACTGAAAGGTTGAGACAGGATAAATAAGAGCTAAAGGCAGATTCATCCCTGTCGGTTCCCACTTCAGATCAAAACAAAATAAACTGGCATTGAAGAGATTGAAAGCCGAGTGAGAATTCAAGAGCATCAAATTAAAGGTTTAGTCTCTGCCTATCTTTGTCTATTTCCTCAGTGTTTATCAGCTGAAAGCAGGCTCACACCAGTAGACATGACTTGGGATATATCCGTAGGAGTAGATTTCATTATTTAGTCACATTGCCATCCTGTCTTCCCGCCGATTAGTTGAAGCAGAAGGTCTCCGATCCACCTCACTTTATCCTTTCCACAACCTAATGAAATAAGTTCGGCAGGGAAAGGATGGCTGGTTCAAGATTTACTTCCTGGCTTCTTAATCTGGGATTTCCTTACTTCATGTCCCTCAGAGCATGGACAGAGTTCCTGCTCCCGTCCTTTGAAGGTGCCGGCCACAGAGACTGGCCCAACGTCAGGAAGAACAACCTTCAGAACACGGCCAAAGAGCCCGAAAAACCCACAGCAACCATCAGATCCCGCCCGTGAAAGCCTTCGAGAATACAGTTGAAATAATATTCATTTGTTCCTGGTTAAAAACTTTAAGAACATTTACTGAATAACACATATGAATGCAGACTAAACTAAAAATACTTAGGAACATTTGTCCTTGATACAGACTAGTGCTTGACAGACTTATAATGGATTCATGTGATCTTCTCACCAGAAAAAGTAACACAGAAGTTGTGTCCAATCAACGGAACAAGGAGACTCCAAACTGAATGAAAGACAATTTATAACAGAATAATAACTACTTATTCCATCTGTTTGGCAGTTAACCGACTTAACGGCCATTGTCTAACAGCAGACAGAATCTGATTGGTTACGTAAGTTCTAATATGTAAATTACACAATACTGTAATTCTTATACAGATACGTATATAAACATGCTAAGTTGCATCCCCATATATTACAACATTTTAAACAGTACAGGTGCAGTAACTTTATGGGGCTCCAAATGCCATCACAGGCAAAAGTCTAGGATAATGGGAATTGTAGTGTTATTCATTCCCATCAGCGCAGTTGTGTGCATTTAAACCTGGATCCAATGACAAATTAGGCGGTGTTCGTATTGATCTCTTTAAGTTATTAGTATTACAGATTTTGATACCTTGCTAACGATGTTTATAGGTTCCAGTGTTGGTCTAGTGGATAGAGTAATGGACTAGGACTCAGGAGGCGTGGGTTCAAATCCCCAGCTCTCCCATGGAAACTTACTGGACGTGTGGGATTGCTAAAACCACTCCTTAAAACTTCACATATCTTTAAAATCCTATTAGGGTCGCTTTAAATCTGCTCTGACCTGATGGCACACACACACAAACACACAAAAGGAGATCTTACTATTAAACAATATTACAAAATGAATGTAAATAATATTACCAAATATATTAATTCCATTGATGTTAGTATTCTTAACACCATTATTAAGTGATAGCAATGATGAATCGATATGTATATGCTATTTACATTACGAAAACAACCAAGTTTAAAATAACTAAGTACAAACTATAAATACTGTGATAATTCCAAGATAAAGAAGGACGGTAGTGGTGATGCTGAGGATGATTAAGTACCGATACAGGGCTTCAAAACCTACAGGTTACATAATGCTACCTGTGTGTGATTTTTAGATAGATGGTTACGGATTATTTCTTTGACTAGATTTTTAGTACTATGTGTGTTTTCCATTTTTGTGTTTTCCTTTTCTCAGAGTGATTTTTGTTTTGCATACCTATTGATCTTCCACTGTTCATAGTTTAAATCTTGTATTTTAATTATGTTAACCACCCTTGTATTGTGGCGTTCGCCCCTCGTGGCCCCTGCCGTTCTTTCTAAACACAGAGCACACGAAGGCAAACCAATCCTCCTTTTCACCTGCTGCCACCAGGTGATCACTAAATAAATCAACATTACTTATGGAAGGATGAAGATGCAGGTCCAAACTTCACTGTCTTTTAAATAAAACCTGTTTATTGATTACAGATGTTTAATTATTAATCATAGATAACTTCTACAGGTTTATTTATTATCAATCTCAACCTCCTATTGGCTATCACAGTTCTTATCACACTCCAATCACACCTCAGATCTCCCAAATACCAAACTCTACAGTATCTCCTTCTCCACTCTCTCACTCTTGACTCTGACTGACTCTCTCTCTCTCTCTCTCTCTCTCTCTGACTCCGCCTCTTTATTACATATCTCTCGGCTCCGCCTCTTAGCAACATCAGCCTGCAACATGAATATGCTCAAGAAGAAAGTATAATAAGGGTGAATGCTACCTTGTTTACAACTTTAAAAATTATCTCTCATTGTTGTAAGCTGCCCTGGGTCCTTTTCAAGAAGAAAGGTGGGGTCAAAATATTTAAAATAAATAAATAGTAAGCACTTCCAAAAAGCATTAATACTTGTTAATAACTTCCAAAAAGTTCTGATGTTATTATGAAAAAGGAGTCATATTAGTCTGTCTCAGCAGGATGGCAAAAATAAAAAGGAAAAACAATTTTAGAAAAAATACACTTCTTCAGACACAGGAGGTGACATGTATTGTGCTTCTGTATTTGAAGAAGTGGGTTAAAACGGTCCTTTTTAAAAAAAAAAACAATTTTACTTTGCCCAATGTGCTGAAAGAGTTAAAGAGACAGAGAGGAGCAACGCCTAGAGAGGCATCGGGCGGGGGAGAGAGAGTTGTGTACCTAGAGGGGAACCTCCTTCCTTCTTCCGGCCACACCCCCTCATCTCACACGTGGGGCAAGCTGGCTGGCCGGAGGTAAGCTGGAAAGTGGGGATGCTCTGATGGATGAAGCCCACTTGGGAATCTGGGGGAAAGGGAGCCGCTAAAGCGGGGAGATTTGCAAAATGCAGGGCTGGTGGAGAGGAGAGAGGGAGGGAAGAAGGCAGGCAGGCTGACTTCCCGCCTGGAGACAGGTAACTAGGATGATTTTATTTATTTACTTAAAATAAAATAAGTAAGTGTATTTACTGTAAGTAGTTTGCTTAAATACATTCAGTTAATTTGTATATAGCTCAGAACATCATGATCCCGGTCTTGCAAATTGGGATCTGGGGAGAGGAGTTCGTTCCAGCTCTATAAATAGGGTTCCTGTGGCTTTTTGCATGGCAGGCAGAAGTTCAAGAGGTCGAGTGCAAAGGCACCTACCCGTTGAAGTATCTCATAAATTCGCATCACATGTTTCTGCGAGATTCTGAGAGAATCAAATAATAACACAGTTAGTGGCTTAAGTTTTTATTTTCAGCGATGAGAATTCACAAAACGCTATAGCAAGATTTTATACTGTACTATACAGTACTATGCATATCTGAGCTGGAGAAGAGTGGCGTAGACCGTGAGGGACAGATTTCACTGGTTTAAACCTGCACGAGTTTAAATTAACTTTTTTTACTGCCTGCTTGTTAAGACGTTTCATACGAGTTCTGGCTTTATTCATCCCTCTGCCCCTGGGTACAACCCACAGGTTTGATGAAAAGCTTAACCTGCTGAATTTCTGCCTGCTGTCTAAGCAGTGAAGTAGGACTCACAACCTTCTCTCAGTGTCCTTTATATATACTACTTTATATATACTACAGTCCAAAGTGATTTCTAAAACTGGGTCTTTGTCTAAGAGAGTAACTCCAAAGTTGTGCAGCTTGAAAGTTTCTTTTATTGGATTTTGTCGTTATGTGCTGCTAAGTCGCCTTTGTTTATGTGTGAGTGCATACACACAGGTTTGCATACACACAGGTTATACACACACACAAAAACAAACAAATAAACAAAGGTGACTTAGCAGCATGTAATAACAACATCCAATTTAAAAAAAACTTCTAAGTTTATATATAATTTCTATACCACCCACCTGGCAACCCAGGCCACTCTGGGCGATTTACACAATACAATAAAAAATATAATATAAATCAAAACAATACAATAAAGCCTTTAACTTAGGTTGATCCTATGAAGGAGTGATCTCCCTCGTGTCCTCTTTTTCATAGCCCTGTTCAGCTGTTGCAGACTCAGACCTTCAATCTGTCTTTTCCTGAGTCTTCCTCTCTCTTTTTCCTAGCCTTCCAGTCTTTTCCAACAAATCCTGCCTTCTCAGGATGGGCCCAAAGGAGAACAAACCCCAGTTTCACCTTTAGTTGATTTGATTGAGGACCCAATTGTTTGTCTTTCTGGTGGTCCAGGGTGCCAGCGAAACTCTCCTCTGGCACCATCGTTTTTGGACTACTTCTCCCATGCATCTGCAGTCACCCTCCCAAAAAAGGACAATGCTTTACGGGGATCCTAAGAGCAAATGATCTGAGATCAGGAGATGCTGGAAATTGGGTTAGCTCCCAGCAGCCCTAATTGCCCATTTTATTTATTTTATTTTATTTATATCCCGCCTATCTGGTCAGTTATGACCACTCTAGGCGGCTTACAACATAAGTACAATACACATAAAATACACAGATAGATATAAAATTATTACGTAATGAACAATGAAGGAAAACATCAGGAGTTAACTGGAGGGCAGGCCTGCCGAAACATCCCTGTTTTTAGTTGATTTTTGAAGATACCCAGCGAGGGGGCCGCACGAATCTCCGGAGGTAGGTTGTTCCAGAGGCGAGGAACCACCGCCGAGAAGGCCTGGTTTCTTGTTTTTTCCTTCTGGGCCTCCCTCGGCGTCAGGCTCCTCAGCCTCACCTCCTGACTCACATGAGCGACATGGGTAGAACTGGGTGGGTTCTATATAACCATAACCAGTGAAATGAGGAATGCTGGGATTTGGAGTCCAGCAACCTCTGGAGGAGGTCATTCTGCCCAATCCATTTTAGATGCTGGACAGGAGGGATACTTGGAGGTTGCTTCCTTTCACCATTCATTTTGAATTTTCCTTGAGAACAGAGGCGGTCCTCAACTGGAGGCTGAGAAGTAGGTTAGCTGCATTGCCTGTTGCCTGAACTACAGAAGCCCTTGCTGTGTTTTTTCCCCCCCTGTTTCCAGGCTGAGAGGAAATGGCAGCCGTGGGAAGCGCTGCCCCAGCGTCCCTAGGCCTTCCCTTCCAGGCGATGCTGGAGCAAGGAGTCCCAGGGAGAGGAGAAAACCCCGGAGGGATCAAGCCAAGCAAAGATGCCAGAAAAGCTGGGAAAGCCCTCCAGGTCGGGATGCGGAAGGATCCGGGCCCCTGGGCAGCCCCTCAGCCGGTGAAACAAGAACCAGGGGAGACGATGCCCCACGGCTGGGAAGGGTCCCTGCAGGAGTTCCTGAAGGCAGCCCAGTCTCCCCACCCGGGATGGGGCAACCCACAGCTCCTCATGCCCACACCGTGGGAGGAGAATGGGAAGGCTTTCCTGAGCCCGTTTGAGGCCCCCGCCGACGCGTGGCTTTGGCCGAGAGGCGAGTGGGGCCCCCGGCCGTTCGCGGGAGACCTGCAGCCGCCCTCTTACGCCTCGGAGGCAAGAGACAGAGCGGAAGGCGGGAAATTAAAAGCAGAGGCCTCAGCGTCAGACCCCGTCGGGGTGGAGGTCCAGCGCCGGCGTTTTCGGCAGTTTTGCTACCTGGAGGCCGAGGGGCCCCGGGAGGTTTGCCTCCACCTCCGGGCCCTTTGTCGGCTCTGGCTGGAACCCGAGAGGCACACCAAGGAGCAGATCCTGGAGCGGGTGATCCTGGAGCAGTTCCTGACCATCTTGCCGGCGGAGATCCAGAGCTGCGTCAGGGAACAGGGGGCCGAGACCTGCGCCCAGGCGGTGGCGGTGGCGGAGGAGTTCCTGAAGACAAAGCAAGAGCCGAAGAGTTGGGAACAGCAGCAGGTAAGGCTTTCTCTCGCCCTCTGCCGGGCCGGGTGAGAGGTACCAAAAATTTTTGGCCCATGGAGCGGATGGTCCTCTAGCTAGGAACCAAACCTGAGAAGAGCAGGCATCGAGTCTGGTGTGTAAAGTGTTAAAAAAAAAGACAAATGTAATTAGACTGAGTGTGTAGGTGTCTGGATCACTCAGTGGTTTGGGGATCTGGCTGTGGAGCCAGAGGTTGGGAATTCGATTCCCCCACCCCACTCGGCCTCCTTGGGGGAAAAGCCAGCCTGGGTGGCATTGGGCCAGCTGTGCACAGTGCCAGAAGAAGGGAAGGGGAAATGACTTCTGAGTATTCTCTGCCTGGGAACCCTGAAAGGGTCACCCTAAATCAGAAGGAACTTGATGCCACATGATTATAATCCTGCCAAAGACAATTACGAGTCTCTGGTGGAAAAGGAGTTTTGTTACAGTGGAGTCTCGACCTACGGACTTAATGAGTCTCTGGTGGAAAATGAGTGTTGTTATTGCTATACAGTGGTGCCTCGCTAGACGATGATAATCTGTTCCACTGAAATTGCTGTTTAGCGAAATCATTGTCTAGCGAAAAGCATTTCCCCATTGGAATGCAATGAAACCTGTTTAATGCGTTCCAGTGCAGAAGAATCGTTGTTGTCTAGCGAAGATCAGCCATAGGAAAGCCGCTTTGCGTACCTCTGATCAGCCGTTTAAATCGCTATCTTGCGAAGCTTAGGTCCCGAAAACACCTGTTTGCGAGTGTGGAGGGAGCTGTCAAAATCGTTGTCTAGTGAAAATCGGTTTGCGAAGCAGAGACCAAACATTGTCCAACGAAATTCCCCCATAGGAATCACTGTTTTGCGAATTGCTATAGCAATTGCAAAAAGCCAATGTCTAGTGAAAAAACTGTCATGCGGAGTAACTGTCTAGCAAGGCACCACTGTAATTCAGTCAGTAAAGGGTAAAATAGGAGTTGCAAAAATTACCGTAGTTTAAGAGCATGCCTGATCTAATGCTGGCCCTACTCAAATTTGGCTTTGGACCCTCGGCCATAGCAACGCATGATTCTCACCAACACTGATCTGGAAATGGGCCGCGATACTTCTGCCCTGCCCTTTTCATCCGTATGTCGAAGCTCCGGCTGCAAGTCGATCCAGACTTTTGCGGCTGGAGCTGTACGTAGGTCGAAAAATCCGTAATTGGGGCCATTCGTAGGTCGAGACTCCACTGTATTGCTATAATTCAGTCAGTAAAGGGTAAAATAGGTGTTGCAAAAATTAGTTTAAATGCATGCCTGACCTGATGCTGGCCCTACTCAAGTTTGGTTTTTGGACCCTCGGCCGTAGGAACGCACGATTCTCGCCAACGCTGATCTGGAAATGGGCCGCGATACTTCTGTGAGCTTCATGGAAGATCTGGACGACTGCTTTTTGGCTGTCTTGCCCTCTGATTCTTGCTGGGCAAAATGTTATTGCCATGTTAACCGGAACGGTGTAACTTCTAGCCGATGGTTGCTGAACGTTTTAAAGTCCACGTGGGCATTTTCTATCATGTGCCCAGTCGGGTGTCTTGCTCCACAACCAATCACATCGACTCAGGCTTTATAACTTGTGGGATATTCGCACCCTGAGGGGATGTCGCTTGCTTGACGCTTGTGAGTCTAACTAACAAGACTTTGGCCAATCAAAAAAGAAAACTACCCATTATTTTTCTGCTTGAGCTTTTAAAGTCCACGTGGGCATTTTCTATCATGTGCCCAGTCGGGTGTCTTGCTCCACAACCAATCACATCGACTCAGGCTTTATAACTTGTGGGATATTCGCACCCTGAGGGGATGTCGCTTGCTTGACGCTTGTGAGTCTAACTAACAAGACTTTGGCCAATCAAAAAAGAAAACTACCCATTATTTTTCTGCTTGAGCTGAGCGTTTGCAAAGATCCGTGAGATGAGGCACTGAAGGCCACAAACAGACGCCTCCTTAATCACCTCAAAAGGGAATGAAGCAACAGAGGAGACAGGAAGTTATTTAAAAGTTCTAATTACTTTCATGTTTCCTTCACTGGGATAGGATCCAAAATGGAAACATTCCTCATCATGGGGTCTGCTTGTCTTCCTAACTTGAAAAATTTGTCCCTTTCTCAGAAAGGGACTGTTTTATGAGGCCTCTTTGTTGCCGGGTAGGTGGGACTCGTCAGCCTTGGGAGGCAGCCCATCTAGGAGAAGGAAAACTCCGATTTCAAACCTCCACTGCCTTGTGGCTATATCCACTGATGGAAAAGGTTTCAGGAGTCAACCTCGAGGCAAAATCCGAAATCCCGGAGGCAGTTTATGTTGTTCTGACAACTCCTGCGACATTGCTGGAACCAGTTGTATTGGCCTTTCCATTGGACTATTTCAGTGATGTGGAGAGGGGGGATGTGCTGCTTGGCTAACAGCCTATCCTCCATATTACTTTACCCGGGCTTCATGCTCTGGAGAGGACACTCCAGCTTCACATACAGCGTCAAAGTCCTCCATACTGAGCACATCACCATAGTCTCGAGACTGAAGGATGTCTATGATGAGTGTTATGTTCCTACCACAACAAACCCGTTTGCATTGTCAATCTTGTTATTATTGATTTCACATGTAGTTTCCTTCTCCTGCTGCACGCTATCCCAGTTCTTCACAACGACCCTATAAGGTAGAGAGAGGGGGGTGGGGGAGAGGGAGGGAGAGAGAGGGAGAGAGACTGCCCAAAAATCACTCTGTGAGTCTTCCTGGCTCGGTAGGAATTGACCTGGGCTTTCCAAACCTCCAACATCTTCCTCTACCACACACAGTATCTCCATGGGAACCTGTGTGTAAGCAGTGAATACAGCTCCATCCTCCAGAAATTTCACCTGCTGTGACTCAAGCTAAATACAGTCGTGCCCCGCTTTATGATTACCTCGCATTATGACAAATCCACTTCATGGCGACGTTTTTGCGATTGCAAAACGATGGTCTAAATAGGGTTTTTTTCGCTTTGCGATGATATGATTTGCCGCAAGAAACCCGTTTGCATTGTCAATCTTGTTATTATTGATCTCACATGTAGTTTCCTTCTCCTGCTGCACGCTATCCAAGTTCTTCACAACGACCCTATAAGGTAGGGGGGGGTGGGGCAGAGGGAGGGAGGGAGAGAGAGAGAGACTGCCCCAAAATCTGTGAGTCTTCCTGGCTCCGTAGGACTTGAATCTGGGCTTCCCAAACATCCAGCATCTTCCTCTACCACACACAGTATCTCCATGGGAACCTGTGTGTAAGCAGTGAATACAGTTCCATCCTCCAGAAATCTCACCTGCTGTGACTCAAGCTAAATACTTACTCTCCCTAAATGATGTACTGTATGGAGACAAGTTGGCGGTGACTTGATGGCTCACGTGATTATTCTTGTGATCAAGGAAGATAGAACAGTCCCGTAATGGAGGTTTGCTACCACTCTGAATCTTTGTTGTTTTAGGTACCAAAGACTTTCCGGGAAACTCCCAAGGCTGAACAAGGTCCGCCGGACAATAGACGGTGGCAGCTCTATAGGGAGAGCAAACTGGATAGTGACGGAGATGCGAGTTCACTGGGTAAGCATTTCTTGTGTTCAAAAACTTGTGATTCGGGAGATTCCTCAGGTCATCATCGTGTGTAGAGCTGGAAGGGGACCTCTAGAGCCATCAAGCCCAACTCCCTGCAAAAGCACAGGGTGTGTATTCCATTTTATTTTTCCAGCTAAAGTATGCAGAATGAAGTAGCTTAACTGATAGCATAGTGGTTGAACTGCAGTACTGCAGTCAAGCCTCTGCTCACAACCTGAGTTCTGTCCCAGAGAGGTTCCAGTAGCTGGCTTGAGGTTGACTCCTCCTTCCGATCCCCGAGAGGTTCTGGTAGCTGGCTTGAGGTTGACTCCTCCTTCCATCCTTCCAACATTGGTTAAAGGAGTACACAGGGGTGGAGAGTGAATATTCCTTCCACAGTTCTGTTGTAAACTGCCCAGAGAGTGCTCTAGCACCATGAGGCGATACAGTGGTGCCTTGCTTGACAACGTTAATTCGTTCCAGTGAAATCGCTGTAGAGCGAAAATGTTGTCAGACGAAATTACAAAAACCATTGAAACGCATTAAAACCCGGTTAATGTGTTCTAATGGGCTGAAAACTCACCGTCCAGCGAAGATCCTCCATAGGGGCGACCATGTTTCATGCCTATGCAGTGAGGAATCCATCCCTAAGCACAGTGGTGGGGGCATTTTCTTCAGCCAGCGGCCATTTTGAATCCCACCGATCAGCTGTTTTTGATCTTCATAAAGCGAAAATCAGTTCCCGAAGCAGGGGACCGATCATTGCAAAGCGGTTCAAACCATCGTTTTGCAATTGCAAAAGCAATCGCAAAAACCTCACCGTCAAGTGGATTCGTCGTTAAACGGGGTATATTTTAAATAGGGCATGACTGTATATAAGTGGAATGAGTGAGTGAGTGAGGCAGGGATACCTCTTTTTACCTAAAGTTTGCCTGGGATTGTTGTAACCCGCCCTTGGGTCATTTTTTTTAAGGAGAAAGATGGGGTAAAAATATTTTAAATAAATAACTAAATAAATTCCCTGGGGAATTCTAGGTAAACTGGAAGTCCTAGCATTACAAGCATCCCATCCTGAAGATCTGCCCTTTTTCCTTTTTTGGTGCCAGGAATGACTGATGTGTTTGCATCTCTCTTTTCAGCTGGCGAAGGCTGGGTGAGTGAAAATGAGGAGGAGAAACCTCAGCGAACATGTGCAGAGAAAACAGACCCCTCCGGGAGGTCTGGGTTCTTGTGCCAGGAGCAGCTGGAGACCTTTGAGGGTGAACTCAAAGTGGAGAATCTGCACGAGGGCCCCTTCGGGGAGGGAGAATGTAAGCCGGTCCCTTGTCAGAGACTTGGCCACAAACTCAGTGAAACCGCTGTCCGGGAGAGGCTCCACGGAGACCGGTGTAAAAAGGTGTGCATGGAATGTGGCAAATCTTTTGGCCGTAGCTCGGATCTCCTCAAACATCGGCGGACCCACACGGGGGAGAAGCCTTTCCAGTGCCTCCACTGTGGGAGGAGCTTCAGCGACCGCTCCAACCTGATCGCTCACCGGCGCATACACGCCGACAAGAAGCCCTATCAGTGTTTGGACTGCGGGAAGAGTTTCTGCCAAAACTCGTACCTGGTCCGCCACCGACGGACCCACACGGGGGAAAAGCCGTACAAGTGTTCCTACTGCGGGAAAGGTTTCAGCGACAGCTCGAACCTGGTGGTCCACAAGAGGACCCACACAGCCAGTGACAAGCCGTACCGGTGCCTGGACTGTGGGCGGAAGTTCGGCGACCCGTCTCTCCTCGGCAGGCACCAGCGCATGCACGCCAAAGAACGGCCATACAATTGCTCGGATTGCGGGAAAACCTTCCGTCACCGCTCGGATCTCGTGCGCCACCGGAGGACCCACACAGGCGAGAAGCCCTTCAAATGCCTGGATTGCGGAAAGGGCTTCAGCCAGCGTTCTCACTGCAGTACACACGAGAGAAGGCACAGCAGGCAGAAACTGTACTCGCAATGTTCAGATAATGGGAAAGCCTTTGGCCTGGTGGACCTTGAACTTCCACCCAAGGATGAAGTGGCTGACACTTCTCCGAGAATAGTGACCCAAAAGGACATGAAGATGGGGCATATGTGTGTCCTCCTTCACACCGAATGGGGTTACTTATAGTCAAGTTGTCAGGTGTGTTTGCCGCAGCCTGGTCGCTTGGAGGAAATTCTCAGCGCACCCTAGGCGAATAGCAGGGAAGGCTAACTGGTGAGGGACTTTTCTCACCTTTTCTTTTCACAGAGCAAAACATCCCAATAAGCCACCTGCCCCTCTGCACAGGCTTCCTGATTTTTTAACATTTAGATCAAGAACTTCCAGGCAGGATCTGATGCAGAAATCAACATTTTTGGGGGATGGCCTTGGTTTTTTGTGTTTTTAAAATGCGAGTTTCTTCTGCTCTTCACTGCCAAACAAACTCTGCATTGTCTATCTGCATAGACAATGTCTGGGGAGATCTTGGAAGCCCAAATGAGTGGTAGCAGGGTGAAGGGGATGAGGTGGGATTTTATAGCCTGCAAGAGGCTGCAATTCTATTCCACGGCTGAAAACTGAAGAGCCTGCCAGGTTTATGTACATTGTAAGTGGTTCAGGTTCACTTTTCCCTTCAGAAGTTTTGGATCATTCCAGCACAGCAAGTCAGGTGCCCGGATCTTGAAGCAGCGGGTCAGAGAAGATTTCCTGTATCTTAAGGGAGAAGACGGGGTGGGGAAAACAGGCAGGGAGGTGCTGAGTTGGGATCCACCAGACCTGCTGGAAGAACAAAGTTCCACAGTGGAAGGGCAAATTGGTTTGGCATGGGTAAAATTTTGGAGGAGCACCGTGATGCAATGGTTAAACTGCAGTGCTGCAGTCAAACCTCTGCTCACAACCTGAGTTCAATCCCAGCATGTTCAGATAACTGGCTCATGGTTGACTCAGCCTTCCATCCTTCTGAGGTTGGGACATTTGAGTACTCAGCTCCCTTGTAGACACTGCATAATTAGAGAATGCTTTCTCAGCTCCCTTGGGGGTGGGTGGGACAGTGTGTAGACACTGCATAATTAGAGAATGCTTTAAGTGCTGTGGGGTGGTATATAAACAGCACCCTTTGCCTCCTTTATTATATTTCAGTCACAGAACCCTCAAGATCTGGCTAGATCCAGGAGCATAGTGGTAACTGGGGCTGGGGGGCCATATGCCTGTCCGTGCCTGGGGGCAGAGAAGGTTGAGTACTGGGGGCAAAGCATGACTCCCACTGACAATCCATAGATGGCTAGCTCTGTCCTCTAGTCCAGTCCCCTGCCAGTGTGGGAATCCACAAGTTAAGCACCTGTGACGGGTGGCCGTCCAACAGTGGGGAGTCAGTTAAGAGCCGAAATAATCCATTTTATCTCTCCAACAACTGTTCCCGGCAGGAAGCTTTTCCTAATATTTAGTGAAAGATTTCCTTCCTTTTTGTTTTGATCCAGGCTGACTTGGGTCCTGTCAGGTTTGTGAGTGTGAAAAAGAGCTGGTAAATGAGATTATTAAGGGGTGGTTTTGCCAGCCCCGTATCCAACCAACCAGTGTGTTTCCATGGCTGAGTGGAGATTTGAACCCCAACCAACTAGTGTGTTTCCGTGGCTGAGTGGAGATTTGAACCCAGGTCTCTGCCATCCTCCTTCACCATTCTAGCCAATATGCTGTACAGAGTATCCAGTATCCCTGAAGTAAAAAGTTGTTTGTTTGTTTTTAATTAACCCAAAGAGAAGTTTCTCAAACAGTGAGAGTGAGGTGGAAGAAAATTCTGCTCTGAGGCCTGAATCTGATTGGTAGAGCTGTCGAATCTGTGGGACTTACTACGTGTTCATCAGCTGTTTCAGTGGGTCTTCTCATTCTGACTAACAGGTAGGTTTACTTCTGTCTGGGATACAAGTAACCAGGATCCCCACCACCACCATTATAACCACTTTGGTATTCTGTCACCAGTCATGTCAAGAAGATGATGTGCTGATTCGGCGCCATCCTGGATCCTGACCTTTCAACATTTTTGAACCTTTCTCTTTCTCCTCCTCCCACTCCCTAGCTCTGCAATGTCAAGGTGAAAGAAAGGTGCTGCTAAACTCAAAAGCTCATTTGGTTTTAATATTTTAGTGGTCCAGTAAGTTTTACCCATCTATAGGTTTTTGTGCCATGGTTTCCTAAAACTAATGAAGTATGGCTACTTTTTAATGAATGGAGTTCCTGCTAGCCTTCTTAATGCCTGCTGTTTGAACCTTTTTATATGTGTATATATATTTGCATCGTTCAAGAATTGCTTCTGCATGTAATTCTTGCATCTGAAAAAATAACAGGGAGAGAACTATTGATCAGTCTCTGCAGAAGTAAGAGGGAAAATTGTCACTGAGAAATCCAGACAAGATCTGATGGACATGAATTAGATGGGGAAAATTGCCTTCTTTGCTTCACATTGTTGGAGGTTGTAAAATAAATTGTACAATGAATAAAATAAATTCCACATAAAACTGTGTTAGTACTCTTGTGATTTAATAGCATCTCTGTAAGTCGGAGGCAACTTGATGGGACATAACAACAAACCCTAGAAAGATGTTTGGTCATGTCTTTATTTTAGTTCCTTTATTAACTGTTTGAATTGTGAAAACATTTTTTTCTTTAAGTGAGGGTACCTTATTCAACATTTTCATGAGTACCAAAATTGCAAGTCTCATTGCCACTTTGTTGGATCACGAACTCCACTCTCTGCTCAGTTTTCTAGCCCATTTTGTATTATTTTTCCCTTCATTAACTTTGAACCACCACCACCCCGCCATGCCCTGTAATTTAGCTTAAGATTTGTGGTAAATATTCCTTCCAGGTTGGGCACACAACTGTTCAGTTCCCCTGTAGGCCACATTTCCCATCACATTACCACAGCTGTGTGGTCCTTTTTGTGGAATAACTTTTTTGAAATAAAACAACACACACATACATATACAGTGACTTCAAACGAATGGTTTTATGTCTTCTGTCGCAGCCACTAACTCTGCCTTGTGTTCCTGGCCATGCTGTCTTTTATTCTCATCAGTTTGGCAATCTGGGAAATGGGTCCTTTGTGACTGGCTGGGACCATCATGGCGGCCATTTTGTGATGCCTTTTATGACACTTGCTGAATGTTCAGAATGGCCGCATCATTCCTAAAAGGTAGTGGAGCCCTGAGGGAAGTGTTTTCTTTAACTTGGTGGATTCCGAGGTGAAAAGCAAAGTTTTCACCAGAACGGAAGTTCTTGCCACACTCCGAGCATCTGAAGGTTTTCTGGCACGTGCGCAATCTCTGGTGATCGACGAGGCTGCTGCTGTGGGCAAAGCTCTTCCCACATTCAGAGCATTCGAAGGGTTTGAACGCATGGATTTCTTTATGGAAGGTTAGGTTACTGCGCTGAGCAAAGCTTTTCCCACACTCTGTGCATTTATAGGGTTTCTCCCCAGTGTGAAGCCTTTGATGATACTTAAGGGTAGTGCTTTGGGTGAATCTCTTTCCGCACTCAGTACACTTAAACGGTTTCTCCCCAGTGTGGATTCTTTGGTGGTCGCCCAGGGCCTGTTTCCGACTGAAGCTCTTTCCGCACTCGGAGCATTCAAACAGCTTTTCACTCTTGTGAGTCTTTTGATGGGCTGCAAAGTTATTGCTCCGGCTGAAACTTTTTCTACACACGCAGCATTTATAGGGTTTCTCTCCAGTGTGGATTTTTTGGTGGTCGATCAAGGCATGTTTGCGACTGAAGCTCTTCCCACACTCAGAGCATTCAAACGGCTTTTCGCCTGTGTGGGTCTTTAGATGGGAAGCAAAATTGCTATGCCGACTGAATTTCATTCCACACTCTGAGCACTGGTACGATTTCTCCCCCGTGTGGATTTTTTCATGATCAGTCAGAGTACTCTTTTGAGTGAAGCTTTTCCCACACTTGAAGCATTTATGTGAATTCTTTGGTTTGTGGACATTTCTAGATGTCCTCTCCGTTTCCTTCTTTGTGTGACTGTCTCCTCGCTTTACAGCTTTAGGGACCTTTACACCTTCGCAAACAAGAAAGTGTTCTCTAATAATTTCTTCTTTCCCCTCCATCTGCAGTACGCCATCTTTCCTTCTCGTCTGCCCATCTTCTGCAAGAAACAGAGAGGAAACCAATCAGTAAGAAATGAGTTATTAATTTCTTAGATCTTTAAATTGGAAAACAGGCTGAAATAACTAATATAAAAGTAAAAGAAAGGTGAAGACCACAAGGTGGAAGGTCTATGACAATAGTCACTGGAATTATCCATGGGCCGATACAGTCCAGTTACAGAGTTTTACAGAATTGTCACCAAGCCCTGGGTTTAATCCCCACTATGTCTCTTTAAAAGCTGGCTGGATAACTCAGTGGCTTAGGCATCTGGCTGTGGAGCCAGAAGTTGGGAGTTCAATTCTCCACTGTGGAAAAGAGCCAGCCTGTGTAGCTTTGGGCAAGCTGCACAGTCCTGAAGTGCCCCCAGAAGAACAGAAGTGGTTCTACCAGGAAAACCCTGAACAAGGTCACCGTAAGTGAGAATTGACTTGATGGCATATTTGATTGATTGATTGATTGATGTGGGATTTCAATTCTCCACTGTGGAAAAGAGCCAGCCTGTGTAGCTTTGGGCAAGCTGCACAGTCCTGAAGTGCCCCCAGAAGAACAGAAGTGGTTCTACCAGGAAAACCCTGAACAAGGTCACCGTAAGTGAGAATTGACTTGATGGCATATTTGATTGATTGATTGATTGATTGATTGATTGATTGATTGATTTGATTGATTTGATTTATACCCCGCCTATCTGGACCGATGGACCACTCTAGGCGGTTTCCATATAAAATTAAACAATAAAACACAACAAATACATGGTTAATACAAATCAACTACAATAAACAAAAAAAAATACGAAAAATAATAAGAAGAAGAAAATCAAGAATTGGCTGGAGGGAAGGCCTGAATGAACGACCACGTTTTTAATTGGGTTTTGAAGATGCCCAGCGTAGGGGCCGCGCGAATCCCCAGAGCGAGGAGCCACCGCCGAGAAGGCCTAGTTTCGTGTCTTCTCCTTCTGGGCCTCTCTCGGCGTCAGGCTCCTCAGCCTCACCTCCTGACTCGCGCGGGTGATCCGGCAAGTATCGAGGTCCTAAACCAAGTATCGAGGAGTTCCGCCAAGTATCGAGGTCCTAAACCATTTAGGGCCTTATAAGTAAGCATTAAAACTTTGAAGTTGACGCGGAAACAAATGGGCAGCCAATGCAATGCGGCCAGCGTTGGAGAAATATGATGGTGTTTTCTCACTCCAGTAAGGAGTCTGGCCGCAGCATTCTGCACCACCTGAAGTTTCCGCATCAGCCTCAAAGGCAACCCCACGTAGAGCGCGTTACAGTGGTCTAATCTTGAGATTACGAGCGCATGTACCAAGGTGGTGAGCGCCCCCGAGTCAAGGTAGGGTCGCAGCTGGGCAATCCGCCAAAGATGGAAAAAGGCAGTGCGGACTACCGACACCACCTGGGATTCCATGGTGAGCGTCGGGTCCAAATGTATGCCCAAGCTACGAACCCCACTCTTCGTGGCCAAGGTGACTCCCCAAACGTGAGTCACCCAAGCCACCTACCGCAGGGGCACCCACCCTCAGAACTTCCGTCTTATCCGGGTTCAGCCTTAGCCCATTCTCCTGCATCCATTGCAGTATAGTCTCCAGGCAGCGATGAAGGGACAGGACGGCATCACCTGCAGTTGGTGAAAAGGAGATGAAGAGCTGGGTGTCATCGGCATATTGATGACACAAAGCCCCACATCCCCTAATGACCCCACCCAGCGGCCTCATATAGATGTTAAACAGCATTGGGGAGATAATCAACCCCTGTGGAACCCCACATTTGAGGCTCCACGAGGCCGAGACACTCTCCCCAAGCTGCACTCTCTGGGGACGGTCCTCCAAGAAGTAACGGAACCAGGCCAGAGCCAAGCCACCGATATCCAGCTCGGAGAGCCTCCCCAGGAGGATACCGTGGTCGACGGTATCAAAGGCTGCCAAGATGTCGAGGAGGACCAGCAGGGAGATTTTGCCCCTGTCGGCCTCCCTCAACAGGTCATCGTACAGGGCGACCAATGCCATCTCAGTACCGTGGCGCAGCCTGAAGCCTGACTGAAATTGATCCAGGGCATCTGTTTCGTCCAGGTGAGCTTGGAGCTGATCAGCCACCACCATCTCCACCACTTTGCTCATGAAAGAAACATTGGCGA